ACTTTATGTAAATTTATAGTTAATCCAGAAATGGTGAACTCAATAGATTCTCATAAGCCATTATCGGGCAAAATTGAACAATTCCATAGCTACATCCGCGCGAAAATGAAAGGTGTAAGTTGAGAATGCTACACTGTGAAAAATATGTTTTATTTTTCTATTTTTGTTATTGAATAATAATTTCTACATCTTTTAATTATTTGTTATTTTTTATTTACATTTATTAAGAGCTTTTTGTTGCTTTTAATGTAATTTATTTTCATTCACATATATTTGATAATTCTTCTGTAATGTATATTCACTTAAAAAAACTTGTAGAAATTTTTTGTGTCATAGTACTTTATTCTTTTCACAGTTTAAGTGCTGTTAGCTGGCACTTTTTGATCATTTGCTTTTTTGACTCTACTAGCACTTTGTTGCTTGTTGCTTGTTGTTAATATACATACCTATATGACGTATGATTGCTTCAGCATGTACTGCGTGTTTTTGTGAGGCGCAGAACTTTGCTTAGTAATTCATATAGCATACATATCTAATTTAATTAGTTTAATAAATGTTCCTAATGATTTGTTATCAATATGGACTAAGTTACCGAAACAGCAAAAAATTGCAGAAGTTAATAGTTATATGCTGTTATCAACAAATATTACCACGAAATATTCATCATTGATTACTTTAGTAAAAAAAAGTATTTAAATTTAATTTTAATTCTATATTAAATTTTAAACTTTGAAAATGGTAATACAATTTTTAAATTGAAATAATTTATAATAGTTTATGTTTGTTATTTTCTGGCTTTTTTGATGCTGTTAGCTGCCACTTCAATTTTTGTTAATATATTTTAATGTGTTTGAGCTAAGTTCCAAATTGTTTGTATGAGTGACTGAAGTAATTTATTAAGGCGATTCAAATATAGTCTGAACTTTTTATTGCATTATTTGTGTACTTTAATATTGATATAAGGGATCTTTCAATGAATAATTTAATTACTTAAATATTGATAGAAGGCATATTCTCTTCATATCTCTATCATCTTTTGCACTATTCATCATATTAGTTGCAGTTATTATTTAAATTTATATTGTCATTGTAAAAAAGTTTTCTTGAAAACATTGCAATGTACTTATTATATATATACTACGTGGGATAAATTGTAGGAGAAGTCATACATTGTACTTAATATTTTCAAAATCGAATTCAATTTCCAGTGTATTTATAATAAAAAAAATAATCTTTATTTTAAATATTTTTGAAATTTTAAATAGAATATTAACACATTTTTAAATAATTAATGAAATGAAGTAACATATGTGAGCACACAAACCCATGTACCATGGTATAAGAAAAATATTGGGGGAAAGTGTTAACATAATAAAATCAAAAAAAAAAGAGTTGAATGAAATGGTGTAAAATATTACAATGTAAAAAAATAGAACCAAAAAGCAATTGTTAGTGTTGGATTTTAGTTGCCAAACTTTTACATATTTTTCACATAATTTTGAACTGCAAATCCGCATTGCATTTTTATCATATTTTCGCAAAACTTTTTTGCAGTTTATTTGCACGGCGGTGCATGCAGGCACACACTACACACCTATTACACCCACTTAAACATATCAAAAATGCTTAAGTGGGGTTAAAAATCTGTTGCTTTTGTTGGAAGTTTTCACATTTTTTGTAATTTAATACGAGTACATTTATACACTTTTTAGATACTTTCAGCCCTCGACTATGAAAAAACAATTGTAAATTTTTGCAATGTTAAGAAATTCGTATTATTCGCCACTGACTTGTACACAGATACGCTTTAGTTTGCACATGTGTGTGTATTTGCACAGAATTGTATTTGTATGTTTGCTTCGGAGTTTAAAAGTTACTTGTTTGTGTTGGGAACACAATAAAAATGGGTAAACTCGTCCATGGAACAAAGGATTTAATATCGGATTAGCAAGATTAAGTTTTGTAGAGAACTCTGCTTTTGTCTCTCAATATGAAATGTTGATTTCTCTGATTTAATAGCACAGAAAATATAGTTCAAAGGATTAAATTAAATATTGTAAAGTTCAAAATTTAAAAATTGAATAATTTAGTTCAAAATATTATTGAAAGTTTCATTACACAAAATATTTTAAACAATGTAATTTAATATAAAATTAAAAGAAAACATAAAAGAAATTCATTTTAGGAATTCATGAATAGAGAAAAAATTATATACTCAACAACATTTACTGAAGTAGTTAAGTCATACCTATATTGAAAATATCATAGTTCGTATAAATTGTTCTTCTAAAAGCAATTCATGTCAATTGTAAATTAGGTACCTTCACTACTCTCATGCTCGTATATAGTTCATAACGTAGTGTAATTCAAAAAAAATATGTGCATTCAAATAAAATGCAAAGAACAATAATTGCTAGAAAATAAATATTTAAAAAAAAATGGATTACAAAAGTGAAATAGTGCTAGTTAACTGTTCTAAAAATATATAATAAAAATGAAAAAAAAAAAATTTTTTTTGGTATTATAATTGCATATTATACTTTAAAGAATTTTGTTTTGACCTATTACTAGTAATGGTTGGAGGTTCCATTCTATTACTGTACATAGTAATTCGTTGCAATTTTCAAATAATCTGTGGTACAGCTAACCAAATTTACTTTTATAAAACTTTTTTTAATAGACTTTCTCTAATATATTTACCATAGTCAAATAGCACTGAATACGTGTGCCTATCAGATACGCAATTTACTTCATGAAGAGTGGTTATGGACTATTTAATTGAAGTCAAATTCATACCTGTTAAGCTAGTTTTGTGTTTTTATTGTGTATTTATTATAGATCTTCAAGATTGCTATTAAACTTCTATATAAAATTTCCTCTGCTTCGAGGATAGCGCAGTCACGAATAGTATATTAAAGTGTATTAACTGCTAGCATTTGGACTAGTGTCATAGAAGTTAAATAGAAAATCATCAATTAAGCAGAAAATTTTGTATAATGTTATTTAGTTTAAATTTATTCACCACAAATGTAATACACACTATAAAATATATTGTTTAGTAAAAGTTTTATATATAGATATATATAAGCACATTATATATGTGCTTTTAGTTCACATATAATATCCTTAACATATAATATTTGTACAATCATATGATCAATTTAGTTTTAATGGTAACGTATATAAAATTGTGAAGATTAATATGCTAAATTTGGGTATATATGCTTGGGAAATATATATGAGTGCTTCTTATTAAGCAACATTTATTAAGCAAATATTCTTAAATCGGATTCGATTTGAATCATATTCATCAAAAGTGTATATATTAAAAATTATTAAAATTAAAAATTAGTTTACATAACAGATCCAATTTTTAATTTATTAGATTTAGTTTATTCTTTAAAGGTAGGTATTGAAAATATGCGATAAAGCATTGCCAACTTGAGACCTCACAGTATGAGAGGAGTACCTGCTTTGATTCTGTTTAGTGTAATTTCATAGTTTTAATTAAGAAACAGGATGAATGTGTAACCTTTAGTAAATCCTCATCATTAAAATCATCACCAACTGTTTAACAGCAATATTTAGCTTAACTATAATATTTTTAAGATCTCAGATTTTTCCAGTTTTTTATCTCAATTTTTTCTTTTATTAAGTTTCTGTCAAAACTTGTTTTTAAGTTTTATTATATTGTTATATAAGAATATTTTTCTTCAGATTCAACATAGTATATACTTTACAAATATCTAATTAAATAAATTATACGTAGGTAAAAAAAAAATAGATAAAATTATTTTATTATTTATATGTAAAACTATATATTTCTATAATACAAAAAGACATGTGCAAAAAAAAGAATATAAATAACAATTCATATAAAAAGTGTTCAGTTTATTTATTTAACAATCAGTTAAAATGTAAAGATTGTTTATGGACGTGCGGCGAAAAATTTAAAAATATAAAACCAATATGAAGTGTTGAACATAAACAAAATTCAACAGCTAAAAGCATAAATTTATTTTATTAAAAATTATTTCAAATATTTATATTAGAATGAAAATAATCAAAAAGATTTCTTATTAAAAATAACAAAAGATATTCATTATTTGTTAGTAGACTTCATTCTTAATTTAGTATCAATATATCGGGTTTTGTGGCTTGTTAATTAAATTTTTGCGCAATATTGCAAAAATCTTTTATATTAATTTTAAAAATTAATTATTAAATTTTAAAAATATTTCAAATAGTTAATATACAATGTTATTAGCATTTAGTAGTTAAAAAATTTGTAGAAAATCATTTAAACTGTGTAATAACAGAGCATAAAACCATTAAATAACATACAACTGTAAAGTATTAACAGATAAATGTTAGCTAACATACGAGTATGTAAAGAGTCAACCATAATTCATGTTAAAAAGTATATATTATTTGCAATTAATTAAAATTTAATGCAATTGGTATAAAATTGTTATCATAAAATAATTAGTATTTTCATATAATATAGTTCAACAAAGAACTAATAATAATTTAAAACATGAGAATGGAACTGTAAACAATATTAAAAAATAAACCAAAAACTCTGGAGATACAATATTTTTAATCCACTTTTAATTTAAAATTTTTTGTACTCGCGAAATTCTAAGGACGAACTTTACTGTTTTCTGTATTAATACTTTGGTGACAATAAACTATTGTTGACATAAAAAATTTCAGAAATTCTGAAAAAAGTGATACAAACATTTTTTATTTTATCCCCAAAGGATTTAATTAAGTTAAAAAAATTAAACTTAAACTCGTAATAAAATATAAAAAATAAGAAAATGCAATATTAAGTTGCAGGATTTTGTACAGTGAAACTCAGATAAGGTGTCTGGATTTTATTTGTTAAATATTTTTTGTTGAAAAGTTGAAAACGACGTTTTTTTGTTAGGGTCTTTATTTACTTATGTGAGAAATTCGATATATCTATTTTATGGTTGTAATATTTATGCATAATGGGTAATGAAAAAAAGATGCCACAGCGTGTAAGTAAAGTTTTACGAAATTTTTTATTTATTTTATTTACTATAAGTTGTATAAGTTCTGTAAATCGCCTTAATTTTGCTATAGTAAAATGTAGATTATGTTTGAATGTTTTTATTTAGTTACTTGAGTACTGAAATCGGTTTTCGGATCATAAGAACATTCCTGGAAACTGTAAAACCAATGATTTGATCAGAAGTGGCACATAGCATCCCACTAAACTAATTATATCCAAACCCCCAGCTATCATAGAACACTCCTGAAAGAGTTGGAGTGTCTTTATATTTATTTAAACATATGTTTACGTGTACATCTACATTCATGATACTACATTGCGTACTGTGTTAAACTATAATAACACAATGCGCCTAATTCTCGAATCTATGTTAGCCGTTTTTATTCTCGCATAGTTAACTACCAAACTACTGATAGATAGATCACTAATAGATCAAGACTATTACAAAGATATTGTTGTTGTATCATATATGTACTACTGTTTATCAACACTACCGTGCAAGAAATGGATTATAAACATAAGTAATGAGGTGACTCATCATTTAATACATTTATTCTTAGTAAAGTTGCCTTTTCTAACCAGGTACCATACCCCTACGAACATCTCAGGTGTTAGAAAGACATCGCTTCGTATCAATGAGAAGAATATATCCAAACGTATAGCTTCAATTGTTACCTGCAGAATTCTTTGGAGTCTTAATGGGGGTGTTTAACGGTACATTATATTGATCCGTGTGTTTAAAGCACCATTGTGTTAAACAACAACAGCCGGTAATCACGTTAAAAAGTATGGACTCTGCCTATGAATGCGGTACATGTTAGTTGTTTGAAACTTGCAGAACTACGATGATCTTAGAAATAAAGGTTGTGATTTTGCTGTTTATGCAAACCTAATAGATGTATCAAACATTTATTCACAAAAAATCTTTTATCATATTAACAATCTATAAAGTACCTTAATCTGATAAACAGTCTTCTATTAGTTATCTCTGTTTCTTTCTGGAGTTCTTTAGAAATGTATCCGCAGTGTCCTCAAATCATTTCTAATTTTTTTTTGGATCTTTTTCTGTGCTCCCAGGTTAATTAGTTTTCATTTAATTTTTATATATTTATTTATTTAATTAAAGGTGAATCTCTAATTACTTTGTAATCATGACTTTATTCTACTTTATTTATTTTGCTTAATGTTAAATAGTCAAGTATATTTCCATTAAATTTACTGAAACATAAATGAACGCGTGCATTCAAATGAAGTTTGCTTAGGATAATATTGTTTCAAAATCTCTGGAATCATGTTTACTGTCAATGAAAATTGCATTGAAAATGAAATTTAATTTCCAAAAAAGACAGATAAATACAGCATCAAAATATAAGCCGCCTATAAACCTTTAGAATTACTTACATACATATACATACGTACATCACACTTGCCTTAGAAGGTAGACAGCATTGCAAATCTTGTCATAATCCAATCTCATTCCCATTCCATTTTGCCACAGTACATCTTCCGCTATTAAGTACATTTAAATAAGATTTAAACTTATTTGTTTTCGCTTTTATTTTTCACTTTTATTAAATTATATCTTAAGCATTTATTTTTATTTTTTTTTGTTGTTCCGTATTTTCTTTTTAAACTTTATTACCTTCGCCGGAAGCAGGTGGCAGCACCGCAGGCACAATATACCGCTCATGGCTGCAATACCAAAGGTGGCTGCTTGCCACTGGGACTACCGCAACCGCTGCTGCTCGAGGAGAAGAAGTTTCTGTTGGCTGTGGAACGTGGCGACATAGCAAATGTACGCAGGTGAGTGAAGAATGAAGAATTACTGAAAAATATATAAAAAGCAAATATAAAACCAAATGTTCCCGTTTTTTTTCGGCAAAATTTAAATGCGATAAAGGTGGCAAGTTCGTGCGAACACATAAAAAATTGTATTTCTTTACAATTTTCTTTGTTATCTGAAGAAAGAGTAATTCTGTTTCATTGTCAGGGAGTATGTAGTCACATGTGTATATATGATGTAGGCAGTTTAATATTCTAAGCGCCTTTGAGGTATCGTCTAACGAGTCGGTTTTGTTTAATCTGTTCAGGTGTTGACGTATGTGAGACTTTTCTCATGTCTTCACTCGCACCCGGAATGAAAACTCATAACGTTTCATTCGTAATTTTTCTTGTTACATTTTCATATAAATTTTCAATTAATTTATTTTGAAAAATTACTTTTCAAAAGATTCTTAAAAGGTGAATGAGTTGCTTTTATACATAGATTTGTTTCGTTTCAACTTCCACATAACTTCCTCAGAAGCTTGTCTTGCATTGTGATTAAGTACTCTGAATTAAAGAGGTTGTGATGAATTGTAAATCCTATAAATGAAAATTTTATATTATTTTTCAACAGTTTTTTGATATTCAACAATAACAAAAAATGACGATAATAAATTGTTTTATTTTTTAATTTAATTTTTAAACAGAAGTTTTTTCATGGAAACATTTATGTTATAAATAAATATCTATAAACTATCTAGAAAATAGAAAATCTACTATAAACAATACAAAATCTTATTTAACTAAATGCTTAAATTATTAGAAATTAATTAATTCATTTGTTGAAGAAAAACCCTCACACAATAACTTAATGAAAAACATTTTTTTTTTTAAATTATGTGAAAGGTAAGATTTAGGCTGTAAAAGACAAAGATACTTGTAACAACATGGAAAAAAAGAAGAAAAGATAAAAGAGATATAGATATATAGTTCATGGCAGATATAGTAAGTGTAGAAGAAAATATTTTAATCTGCTGGACTAAGTAGAGTATCACGCAGTTAATTTACTAATAGATTGTATTAAATATGGGTTCCTGAACTCATTGGGGTCTAAACACCCTGGTTAAACATCTGAATTATGTATTATGTATGTATTGTTTTATGCTAAATGCTTCACAACGTTCCAAGAGTGTCCTTCTTCTCACACCTCTCTCATTATAGTTTGGCTATAGTCGAGAATAGTCGAGATCCTTGTTTAATGCAATAAGTGTTATCTTACCTCTTCTCAGTCTACAAGCGATTACTTTTTGCTTAGATACTAGTAGGTACTAGTAGACTAAAACTGATATTGATATTAAAATAAATTGTAAGTAGATAGTTTTATGATTAAAATAGTAAGTTTCTATTTCTATGAAACCGATGTACTACTTTATATTCTAAACTGCCATACATATATTCTTTTGAAAAAACTCCTAGCTATACTCGTAATCCACTTTCAAAATGGTTATTGTCTTTTCTATGGAAGTAAAAGCTATGGAATATCTTTACATTCAGTAATCCATTCATGAAAATATTAAGAATTTCCCGTCCTGGTATAACTTCCGTCTTCTAGTTGTAATGGATAAAAATAATCTTAGCTTGTTTATGATTCATAAAATCTCTTAAACATTCAAATTTTAAATAGTGTGCATAAAACTAAATCATAAAACTGGCATAAAATTGGCATATGGGAGGAACACATTTCCATAGTTGTGTTTTGGATAATACGTCTCGCAAATCAACTATTTCTGCGGCAAGCAAGTGCCTATCACGCAATGATTTAGTCAAGGAGAAACACTGTTACGCACACAGTCCACAACATTTGAGAGGAAAAAAAATGAACCGTAATCGCAAAAAGTCCCAACCGGAAAGCCAAAGTAAAGAAGTAACCAAAAACCGGATATGGAAGTGGAAATGGAAGCGGAGGATTTTGTGTAAAATATACAAAGAAGCATAAAACAAAATTATGATAAGGGAGCAACAGAGCAGCAGAAGAGTGTTGAAGGCAAGATGAATTGTGTGCTGCGAGTACATGCCGTAGTTGCCGTAGACGATGGTCCATTGTTACTAAAGGACACTTTTTAAACATGAGTGACCATTTGGACAGATATGAACATTGGGTAGTTTCAACAATGCGTATGAACTAACTAACTTCCTGTTTGTGATTGTGTTTGTGTTTGTGTTTATGTTTGTGTTTATGTTTGTGTTTGTCTTTGCGAATGGGAAAATAGTAACCAAGAGAAATTAAATAATATAAAAAGGATCTGTGCTGAGTTGAAAATGTGTTAAGTGAGTGTGTTTGGTTGCTTTCGTGTGTTAGAGTAGCCGTTATACCACAGACCCATGAAAATTTAGTGGAGAACTATTAACTTTGCTTCGTTGAATTTTCGAAGTTCATTTGTGTTTTAAATTAAAGTCATGCTATGTCCTTGTTTTGTATAAGTATGGATGGGTGGATAATACGACTACTGTTCTCAGTCAGTCAGTATCTGTGCTAGGAAGTTTAACTGCATTTGTTGTCAATTGCATTTACGACTATTATTATTGTTGTAATAAACATAAATAGTTATGTCCTTTGACTTGTGTGGTACAGACTCTGACTTTAGAGGGGACTCAGCGACTCATAGTGGACTATGACTGACTTGACTTTCGAGTGTTCATAAATGTTTAAAGGCTATTATTGAGAAATAGTTGGGTTAAGTAAAGTACATGTGGGTACTCGTAGATTAAAAATATTAATATAAAAAAATAAAGCAAAGGACACATATGCATTGATAATAAAATTTATATATAAATGAAATTAAATTCCAATTTGCACAGCGTAGGAATTTTTTCTTTTCAATGTGATTTGAAGACTATTACATAAAAATAATCAGAAATTATATAATGGAATGGCATTTTGAAAAGATTAGCATTAAGTATTGTACAGTGATGTTAAAAGTAAAGTTTTTGATTAAAATTTTAATATTATAAATTTTATTTTTTTAAACTAAAAGTCATACTAAACCACAAAAATGTTTTATTCATTTCATTAGTCATTTTGTCAAATATATTAAAATATTTGCCTTCAAAAACCACAAATAAACGAAAATTTCACTAAAATTTGAGTAAATAATTTTGATGAAAATTGATTATAAAATTGGTTTTTATATTTTTTATATAATTAATTATTATAGGATGCGTTATTATTAAAGCTTGAAATATAAATTAAAATTTTTCAATCGTTTACTATTAGTTAAATGATTATAATAAAGACATTAAGAACAAATGACACACTGATGACTCCAAACGGTGTAAGAAAGTACTTAATTTTAAATGAAGGATTCTTTTCTTCTCCAGTATGAAACATTCCACAAAACTAGATCGCTACATCACATTCTGGATATAACTCCAAACGGTGTAAGAAAGTACTTAATTTTAAATGAAGGATTCTTTTCTTCTCCAGTATGAAACATTCCACAAAACTAGATCGGAACATCACATTCTGGAGATAACTTAAGTAACTAAATACATGGTAACAGATCATGGAAAGGTTACGTCGTCCGTTTTTTGGGATACCACTCTTCAATATTTGTATGATACCCTACAAAATGAGAAGCCACTAAATGGTAATATTATGTTGTGTCAAAGAAATAGATAGTATTTTCCAATCAATTTAATATAAACCGAGCTGTATATCATATTGCTGATTTATGTATTCATTTAAAATAAATTATGATATGATCAAAGAAACAGAGATTTGGCTAAGCTGAGGTAGTCTAGAAGAAAAGGAAACAAGCTAAATGAGATGCTTACATTAATAAGCGATGTAGTTATGCGAACGGAAGCCACTCTTACTTTAACTCAATAACGACACCCGAGAATCGAAGGATGAAAAAGGACGCAAATCGTTTCGTGGTCTTCTTCGGCTAATCCTTCCCTTCAGTGGGGTCACTTGTTGGACGGTGTGCTGACCCAACGTCCCACAATATATGTGTATATATAAGCTGAGAAAGTTGTTACTGAAAGAGGCGCTTATTTTGACAAATCGTTCTAAAACGAACTTATAAATATCTTATAAAAGCGTTGGAATGATTATATTAGCATTTCAGTTATATTAAGTTAAAAAATATTAAGTTTTTCTGAGTCAGGCAAGAAATTATGTCTTCACCAATTATGCTAAGCTATTGGGTTAACAAAACATAAGTTTATGTTTCAAGCTTATTGGTCTACACAGTTCACTGGAGATTTTGAAAGTCGTTATTTTAATACACGTTATATGCTTTTATGAGAATCTACTTTAAAAGTTCTTAATCTTAGTTTAAGTTTAAATTGAAATAATCTTAATTTAAATTTAATTTTATGCGGAATGCTAATATTAGGAATTTTTCCTTATATGAAAATTTTTAAATATGTCCAGGTTCATAGATATAATTTTATGAGATGACTTCAGCGGAATTTTTTTTTATCTGATTTGTGTTAAAATAATAATCAATCTGATCAATTTTGATTGCTTATTCTATAATCAAATTAAAATGTTCAGTGCTAATAAAGCTTAGATGATGGAATAAAAATCTCAGTATGCAAATTTCAAGTTTAATGCCATTTCGTACTCGTAATTTTATTGATTGAGAAACTTTTTTGGTGAGCTTTTTTGCAGGTTCCTATCAGGAGTGTGAAGTTGTTAGCGTTATCGACGGCACTCCTGGCGGCCCTTACGAGCTATCCTTGAAGCTGTTGATGAATATCTGCCAAAGGCGACTTGTTTCAATGTAATTAAAAGTTTTAACTGCACTTTCTATTTTTTGATATCAAGTTTTTGTATTTAATTTTTTATTAAACTTTTCACTTTCATTTATACAATATTGTTGCCAATTGCAAATAATTGAGTTTGTCAACGTGGTTCTGTGAAAATTAAGTAAAACTTTTGCCTTGGCAATACAAGCTCAAATGCTGAACTTCACTGTAATTTACTTATTATTTTTTTAGTTTAATTTTGTGAGAGATATTGAAATATTTATTAAGAGCAACGTGTAACTTTAAATTAATTTTAAAAAGCAATATTTAAATTATTTTACATTTTTACAACAACTTTTTAATCCATGTTGCTTACCATAACATTACAGAATACTGCAGAAGGCACATCGGAAGCAACATATTAATATCAATTGTATGGATCCACTTGGCAGACGTGCGCTTACACTTGCCATCGATAATGAGAATTTGGAGATGGTGGAATTGCTTGTCATTATGGGCATCGAGACAAAGGATGCTCTCCTACATGCCATCAACGCGGAGTTTGTGGAAGCTGTCGAATTGTTGTTGGAGCATGAGGAGCTCATTTACAAAGAGGGTGAACCATATGTGCGTATTAAGAAGTACTTTTAAGGATGAAATTTCATTATGTTTAAGTATTTTAAACACTATCCACTTAGTCGTAAAATGTTGATTAGAACGGAAGCACGAGTACATGTTATGCTTGAAAGTTCTTAAGCGGTTATTAAACTTGCTTTTGAATAAATTTGTCCTATTTTCAAGTTTTTCTAATAAGCATTTTATAGATATTTTGATGTAGAAAGTTAATATGAAAGTCATAAAATGCTTTTTTCTATGTTTAAAAATGTTAGCATATTGTTAAATTACTTCCTTTAGTTAAGAATTGTACTTCATAAATACTCAAGAAGCCTCAAGTTATTTGAAGTTACTTTTCTTTAGAAAAAGTTTTTTGAAGTTTTAAAAGCAATATCAGTAAAGCAATAGTTTGATTCTATCTAGGATTTTGATTGAAATATACTTTATATGAATAAAAAAATAAATATATTTAAATTTATAGTATGATTAGATATAACATATCATAAAAAATAATAGAAATAAAACCATTACATCAAATTAGATGTAAGACTTTCTACGGAAGTCTATAATTTATAACAATATTGATTTCTATTGTTCCTTAAATAAAATAAAGAAATGTTCAGGTTCTCAAGATGCAGACCTCGCCCCTAGTTACGTGTCGAATGGCTTACATAAATACATAAATTATTTGTTAATTGCTATTTAAAAGTCTCTGGACTATGTAGTGATTCCGTAGTTTTTATAATATTTTCCGCCTAGTTTCATCTCTTTTATGGAAATTGAAAAGGTGACTAAATCAATCTATGCACAACTACTTTAGACACTTTTTTGGTGGTGTGATATCTTTATATACATAAATACAGATTCAACTACAGTTCAAGATTAATACTCAAACGGCATTCTAGTGTATCTGGACACTAATCATGTATAAATTTGGTACTAAATATTGTTCCTAAAATATGAAATTAAAATAATATACTTAAAAGTAGTTATAACTTTTGGTATAATCTATTACAGATGAGGTTGTTATAAAGTAAACAATAGTATTAGCTAGGTTTTGTCAAAATATGGATGTAAAGTTACACCTAGTTTAAAACAGTTAAAACAGTTCGTCAAGTTCGTTGCAGTTTAATTAAGATACTCTGCGTTATTCTAGTATTTAATACTAATCATTATAGAACTTAGAAAATATATTTATGTATATTTATATTTACAAAATATAATATTCAATTGTTTGTAAAATATTTTTAAATAAAATATAAGTTTAATAATATTCAGAAACTGATTATTATCGCTATATAATATAATCAAAATGCTGAGTACAAAATATTCATTTGAAGTTTTATTATGCCCAATCCTTTGTAGAGTTGGCAAAAAGTGGAACTAAACACAGCAATTTTCCCACCCGACATCACTCCACTTATGCTGGCTGCACACAAAAATAATTTCGAAATATTGAAAATACTCTTGGATCGAGGAGCTGCTGTACCAGTTCCACATGATATACGGTAAAACTGAGTAATTTTTGATTTGGAATTCACATGTATTCACAAATAATTAATATTGAATAATTTTTATCCAAATAATATCAAAATAATGGTTCCATGTATTGTATTTCAAAAATTTTTTTGCTCAGTTGTGGTTGTGATGAATGCGTACGTCTGTCCACGGAGGATTCATTAAGACATTCTTTATCACGTGTTAACATCTATCGTGCATTAACAAGTCCATCACTCATTTGCCTGACATCAACTGATCCAATACTGACAGCTTTTCATTTATCATGGGAATTGCGAAATTTAGCTTTTACTGAACAGGTAAGCAGATGACTAAATTTTTTATTCATTATTTTTCTAGTTTAAAATTTGTTTAAAATATTTCTATTGTGTACATGGTTCCATTCCAAATATTTAAATATATATATTTTCAATTAAAAGGAATGCAAATCTGAGTATATGGAATTACGCCGCCAATGCCAACAATTCTCTGTAGACTTATTGGATCAAACGCGCACTTCAAATGAATTGGCAATTATATTGAACTATGACCCGGAGCTATCCGCATATGAGCCTGGTGACCGACACACTTTAACGCGTTTAGTGCAGGCCATTTCCTTCAAGCAGAAAAAGGTGGGTTTTATACGCTTGAATTACATTCCCTACAGAATTTCAATTAATTCTTACTGTGCTGATTACATTCATAGTTTGTTTCTCATCCAAATATACAACAACTGCTCTCGGCTCTTTGGTATGAAGGGCTGCCCGGCTTCCGTCGTAAATCTGTTATGGAAAAAATCTTTTGCATCATTCAAATTACTCTCCTCTTTCCGATGTATTGTATGATATACATGTTTGCGCCGAATTGTAAGACGGGAATATTTATACGAAAACCTTTCATAAAGTTCCTCATACACGCATCATCCTACTTGTTCTTTTTGTGTAAGTATGACTTCTGCAGCTATATTTAATGTTAAATTGTCTTTAATAAGTTTTATAAAATAAAAGTGAAAAATTTTGAAATAAAATAATTTAGTGTTATTATCCTTCGAAATTAAATGCATCAATAAATTATCAGTAATAATTTTACATTCAATAGAATCCAATCTTTTCAATATTCATAAAATTATAAAACAAACAATTTAAACTTTGTGTGATTTTTACGATTTTTTTATTAAAATATTTTACATTTACAGTAGTAAGAAATATCATTAGTGAACATTTCTTAAATCCCATAAATGACCCATAGAAGCGCTAGGGCAAACATAATACCTTCTGTTCTCATGCAACCACCCACTAAGCCAACACACCACATGCACTGCTCTATCCTTGTACTTGACCAAAAGTAAGCAGTAACCAATTCTGCTTTGACCGCAAACCACAAAATGTTGACAGAAATGACCAGACTTAATGGAATTCAACAGGAGTTGACTTAGTGTATCTCTTACCTAATTCAAATAATGGTTATCATCACTATTGAATTTTATGTTAAAGATTATTTAAGACTTTTTTTTGTGATATTGTCACATTTTGGTTTACTCTCACTCCAGCACAACTTACTCATTCTATTTCTCTTCGATTATTCGCAGTTATCCTCATACTCGTATCACAACGTGCAGATGATGAGGTGATACGTATTTTTGGCACAAATCGTATGAAAGCAGAGTTGATGGAGGAACAGTCACGTCAACGTGGCAAAGGACCTACTAAGCTGGAATTGATAGTAGTTTTGTATGTGTTCGGCTTTATGTGGGAGGAAATACAGGAAATATTCAGAGTTGGCATAAACAGTTATTTGCGAAATATGTGGAATTTTGTGGATTTCCTACGCAACAGTTTGTATGTCAGCGTTATTTGCTTGAGGTGAGTACATTTAAGATTGAGACAAAATCTATGCCCTGCCTTAAATGTAAACGTAACCAAATTTCAGAACAACATACACTTGATTCACTTTTTTGGTTTTGTTTATTTATAGAGCAATTGCCTATATTCAACAGGCAACTGAAATTTCTCTTGACCAGAAAATGGCATATGTACCGCGTGAAAAGTGGGACGATTTTGATCCGCAATTGATTGCCGAGGGTTTGTTTGCAGCAGCAAATATTTTCTCTGCACTGAAGTTGGTGCATATGTTTTCAATAAATCCACATCTAGGGCCATTGCAGATCTCACTGGGAAGAATGGTTATCGACATTGTGAAATTTTTTTCCATTTATTCTTTGGTTTTGTTTGCTTTTGCATGTGGTTTAAATCAGCTTTTGTGGTATTTTGCTGATTTGGAGAAGAATAAATGTTATGTCCTCCCCGATGGTGAAGCTGATTGGGCAAGTCATGGAGATTCATGTATGAAATGGCGACGCTTTGGAAAGTAAGTGAAGAAAATATATGTTACTTTTTGTTTATTTTTGTTCCTATGAACAATGCATAATTTAAGATTGCATATTGCATATAAAAAATATTTCATCTTAAGATATAAATTATAAAAATTTTCAGTCTTGTTAAAATATTAGATAAACTATATTTATCAGTAGATTCCTCCAAACGTAAACTGTTACGAAACTGACTACAAAAAAATATAAAATTATCATAGTCTCTTATAAACACGTTTTGTCTACCAAAAGATATACTTTGTTTATAATCTTCTATAAGGCTATCTTGCTAAATAAGTATAGATCTTATATCACATTAATCGAAATCATGAGAATCACTTTGACAGCACCATCTTTAAAGACAATCATTGGAGTATCCGTTCAGATGAACTAGTTTAGATACATCACAATAAAATAATTCTAATAATATCAAAAAATTGTTCCTGCAGTTCCGATAACAAAGAAAAGCACAGTCGCATAAATATTTCATTTAAATTATATAGCGGTTTAAAGTCGTTTTTGTAGGTCGTATTTTCATAATAGATTTTGAGTGAGTTTAAACTCATTAGTGTGCAATACTCATTACGAAAATGTTATCACTACAAAATCAGATACTTTTCTCCGCACTGCAGTTGTCTAAGAGGTTAAACTAAATAGTGATGACAAGGCAAACCACATGTATCATTTTGCTAGGAAACAAACACAAGAAATACACACATCTGTATGTATATAAGTGAATAGATTTACACACGTAAGCATTTACCTATATACAGTTATCTCACAAATTATATTCGTTACAGTCTTTTTGAGTCATCACAATCACTTTTCTGGGCCAGTTTCGGCATGGTGGGATTGGATGATTTCGAGTTGACTGGCATTAAATCGTATACTCGCTTCTGGGGTCTGCTCATGTTTGGCTCATACAGTGTAATCAATGTGATTGTATTGCTGAATCTACTCATCGCCATGATGTCCAATTCGTATGCGATGATTGATGTAAGTACGGGAACTATTTGTGAAACGTGAGTAAATGTTATAGTGAATGGAGGAGTGCTTGTGGCGTGGTTGATGCTATGTAGTTGAGCATGATAAATGCATTTTGTGGTTAATCTTACGATAAAGATAATAAAATAAAATGAAAAAATTAAGATAATAGGTAAGAAATAATCCATAAGACTTAAGCTGAAATAAGAGTACTTTCAAAAGAACTTTTGATTGCAGTTTACTAGACAGTTACAAATAAAAATACACTTGTGGATTGTTAAATAGAGGGGAAGATATTTTAATATGGAAGCGTACGAGTTGATAAACAAATACAGAGATTTGTCATTTATTTTTATTTTAAGCTTATTGCCAACATTTTTCTTACATTTGCATTCACCTTTATCTATACTCCATACTCCACAGGAGCACTCTGATACAGAATGGAAATTTGCACGTACCAAATTGTGGATGAGTTACTTTGAAGATGGCGCTACTTTGCCACCACCATTTAACATAATTCCATCTGCCAAATGGCTAATAAGAGTATTTAGAAAATCAAGCAAAGAAATCGATAGAAGACGCTCAAAGGTAAGTTGACAGATGTGTATTATTTGTGACTGGTGTTGACTAATATTCCTACTGTTTTTGTGCAGAAACGTCACGAAAAGGAGCAGGAGAATGCTTATGATAATATAATGCGTTCCTTGGTGTGGCGTTATGTTTCGGCCCAGCACAGGAAATTCGAAAATAATCCAGTAACTGAAGATGACATAAACGAGGTAAAATCTGAAATATCGACAATGCGATATGAAATGTTGGAAATATTCGAAAACAGTGGAATGGATGTATCATCCGCTGGCAAAAAGGAAAAACGTAAGTGGAATAAATTGTTTATTTAAACTGTAGTGCAAAGTTTATACATATTTCATTTCACAATCAAAGCTTGTCGTGCCAAACGTAATAAGGATTGGGAGCGTCGACTAATGAAAGGATTCCATGTAGGACCAGTACAAATGACATTAAGCGAAAAGGATTTCAACGTTAATGGTGATTGTGATATGAATGAAATCAAAGTTGAAAAAGAACCTTCCAAGCCAGAGAAGGAAACACCTAAAGAACGTTTTCAGCGTGTAGCGCGTACAGTAGTGGCACAATCCACTTGTCACAAGTGGAATGTAGTGCTTAGTGGTGTAGCCAAAAATTCACAAATTGGACGTACCACCAAAGAAGGTTATAAGGATTTGCAACATTTGGGCAAAGCAATTGAAGAAGCAAAACGGTAAATAAAACGCTTTCAGTTCAGTTTAATTAAATACTACTATTTTTCATATTTAAATGCTACACGTTCTTGTATTTACAGTCTCATTTTATTAAGTCCGCAATCGCGTTCTGGTCGTGAGTCACCCATACCAGTAGAGTTCGAATATGAGAAAACTGCCACACTTCTGGAACTCTTGAATCAAATAAGCGAAGAAATCGACTGTAATGCAGCAATCAAACCTATAAAGATATTATCTGATAAAAAACAATCAACCGGCGCCATTAGTTGTCCCTTACCTACAGATGTGAATACTATTGTCAAGGAACATGGTTTCAGTGCTGCTACTAAGCAAATAAGTTTGAACTCAAATAATCAGATGCAATTAAATAAGTCAACAGCAATGAAGCAAAATCAAAAAGTGTTTACGAAATCCAATGAGCTTATACTGTCGGCTAGCAAATTGGCAGCACCACCTAAATCACAAGAACAGACAATGAAATTGTTACAAACTTCCACTAGTACTGCAGCAGTTGCCACGCCAAAGACAAGTGCTAAAAAAATTGCACCATTGGCACCCAGCGTCGCACAGCCACCGGCATACAAACCGACACCATTTTCAGTTGAACTCGGTCGTGCCGGCCGACATCCCAGTTATAAGCGTTCAACTGTTGCTCCACCTTATGCTAACACTGGTGCTTTTGATATTGACTTTGTAGATCTTGATGACTCTAATAGAAATGAGGAAGAGTTCGCTTTTGCCGACAATGTATCTGAAGTTAGTTCCATTGCTGCTGGTGTAAATAGTCCAACATATTCGAGAGTGCAAAAACCATTTAAAAGTGACAACACTGAACGTGACAACATAACAGGTGGTGACAGGAGTAAACCACAAAGCACTGGTACAAAGGTCTTTGATCACACCAATGGAAAATGGTTGTAAGCGGTTGTATTCTAGAGTAAAAGGGAGATGCGCAATGATGTTTAGAAGTTTTTAAATTTTTATGTCAAAATAATTGTGAAAAAAGTTAATAAATTCGTTAAATACAAAAATAAATTTAAAATATTAAATATTTAATTGTTATCAATTGTAAAATTTGAGCTATGTAGGAAGATGCTGAATGTATTAATAAGAGCTTAGAAGTTCAACGTAGATTAAGTGAGATTGGTTTTGTAAGTTTTTAAAGACCTCGAAAATTTATACAACTCTATTAACTACAGTATAAACTACAATAGTTATATTAAATTCAGTATTTATTATCAATTACATTTTTTCTCCATTATATGAATAAGTATTTTTTTGAACGTCTAAAGCAAAGTATCCAGACTTGACTTTTTAACAACTGTCCTTATGTGTAGTTGAAAAACCTTTCTGGTACATTACTTATCTAGGCAATAAATAATACTGATTAGCTCTTTCAAATTTTCTGACTAACAAAAAGTTATTCTAGCTCTAAGCTATACTAGTGTGTAATGTCATTATACTAATTTATTATGATGGTAGATTAAATTTAATAATTGCTTGGGGGTTTAAAAGATATGATGAGAAAAAAAAAATGTATTACCTAACTTTAAATTTAATATTCAACTAAATATGAACGATAAGAACAAGTTAAGGGGATGCATCGTATTTATCCTTCAGCAATTTAGTTTCTAAGAACGCCAAACATTTTTTAGCTGCGTATCAAAGTTAGATCCTCTTTACTTGCCGCACTTCATCAAGACTCCAATTAAATTTGAAATTTTATATTTTCTTCAAGGAAAACGTTTCTTATTAAAATATTGAGTTTTACAAAAGATTTTTTTCAGCAAATTATACAGCATATGCGTATTTTCTTAAGCATAAAGAAAACGTCAAATTTCATTAAATTAGCAATGAAACATTATATTTTTGAAAAGAGTAAATTTTTATGAAAATTACATTCTACATAAATTAAATTACCTTTTTCTACATTTATGAATAAATAAGAAAAAACAGAAGAAAATTTACTAAATCAAAAATTACAGAATTTCTTCAGACCATCGACAAAAATATTTGTTGATTTTAGACATCGATAGGAATTGAAATGTGTGCTTCCTCCAAACTCCAAACTCAACCCACTTGGGCTTTATAGCTCAAGAATTTCGACACTGATATCTTTTGTTGAAACTTTAAATTCTGGCATGTCATGTACATGTCCGACTACAAGTCAGTATTCAATTGCAACGTTCCCCGAGTGCTGTTTATGATTCCCTCATTGTAAATTTAATAAATTTCCGGCACGTTTATTGCATTTGAAATTAATTTACAAGTTGAATCAATGGACAAATGACTTGTAAGCCAGACACCGAGTAAGCATTCATGCCTGTAAGTCGACAAAGCCGCATGACTTGAAAAATGATATTTTCATAGGTGGACATCCCAACGTTTGACATATGTTCTTTGAATCGTGTATGATATTTAAGAGAAATATATCCAGACATAACTGTGATGAGTACGTTAAAGTTAACCAGAAAGCAGAAGCAGGGTATTTATTTAGGTAACAACTATCTTGCAGTTTTTTTGGCACTTTTATATGCAATACTTTTAAATTATGCTTATGATTTACTGCTGACGCCGATTAATAATTCTTTCTTGTATGGAACTTTCTAAGCCATTTAAAGCTAGTCTGTGGTCTAATAGTCATAACCTGGTTATAAATAAAATAATCAGTCAGAGAATGTATCAATGTACCAAAATTCTAATTACTAAAGATATAATATTTTTCACTGTAGCGGTGTTTTTCAGAATCCTAGTGTTAAAGGTTAATTGAACTGGGTTTTTTTAATCGTAATGAACTTGAACGTGTTAATTGGAGTTTCATTAAAAGGTTTTATATAATAATTATGATATTGTCAAATTATATATATTTCCGTTTCGTTTGTGTATATATTTAATCAAATACAGTCAAACTTTCATAACTCGAAGTACCATTTTGCAAAGATAAGGTTCGCCTTATGGAGTCTTCGAGTTAAAGAATTATTTTGCTAGTGTATGTAATTTGCTCTCCAAACCCTGTTGCACTCTATTTAGTTCGAGTTATAGTAAATCAAATTTATAGAAGTTCGAGTTATGGAAGTTTTTCTGTACTTATTACAATCTTTGAAATTCAGTGCAGGAAAAGGCCTGAGAAGAAGTTCCAGCTACGAGTTCGATATCTTAAATTCGTTTTTTACTATTCTACGTCACATCTTGGCTAGAATGTCAATGCATAAATTTTCATTTTATTTTTTCATACTTATTGATTTCATATTCTCTCAAGTCATACCGTGAATTGGATATATTTTCAGTATGGCCGTAGCACTCTTAAGCTTAAGATCCATTGTACCCTCCAAATATGATTTTGATTATTTGTGCACTTACATCGTACTTTGCACTAATTTTTTAATGCTTTGACGATTTGAATTTTGATATATGACGAGATCAATTTGCTTGTCACGCTAACTGCTTATTGTTTTGGCAAAATGAACCTGTAATCCAGTTTCAACTGCTTTGCGAATAAAAAAATGGACCACGTCTTACAAGTGATTAGACATATATATCACTAGCTTAATTCAGGTCCTTAAGTTGAACGAATAGAGTACACTAAATATCTTGTCTTTTATGCATGGCTGAACGCATAATTTTGTCAATTGTCACAACAAATTACTTGGCTGATAGGATACAAGCGTTTCATACTTAATTGTTATTTCGATGGTACATTGATCTGATAGCCAAAGATTTTTAGATGCACACTGCGATTAGAAAGGGTCGTGCAAACACTCAATTCATTTATCCTTTCAAATATAGAGAAAGAAACATGACTTTCAAAGAGTCACGTATATAACTCTATGAAACTTGTTGCATTGCTTCAGAGTGATCTGTACGTTGATGATGAGATCCACACAACTACGATCGTGACTTGATCTAAAATGGTTTGTTCCTGAATTTTGTTAAATTGCATCTGTTATGCGTACCAAAAAAGATTTTTAAACAGGTTGATAGAAGTATAAATTTGTATTGTATGACGTGCTTCATCAGACTGTTTATAGAGGACAGTGGTTTACAAAAATGTAATGCTATAAATGGATCATATAGCTTCTATTCAAGTCTTTCAGTATGATGTGTCCATTTCTAGACTTACTTGGTTTATATAATATTAGTAACTGCTATTAATAAATAAACTATTCTTATAATCAATAATTATTACTTGAGCTAAAACTGTAGAACAGTAAAGACTCTGGTTTCTCGTTTGCATATTCAACAACAAAACTTTGTTTTTATGGGTAGTAGTGTTCAGTCTTGTGCAAAGATAAGGAAGCGTGGATGTTACTGCAAATGTACTGCCATTTTTTGAAGACCAATTTAATAAATAAAAAATATATGCTTCGCTGTTGTTTTTGTTGTGCTTAAAAAAATGAATCGATAAAGCTTAAAATTGAATATGTAATGTTCGTGTAGTGAATTCATGTAGAGGATTGGCTTTAGCGATTTCACATGTAACAAATCCTCATAAACTTCCTAATTCAAGTACCGCCGGGGAATTTGTCGTGCGTTGCATTGATCCTAAACATGTTTGAGGCAATTTTGTTTGTATTGCTTTTGATATTTCCTGTTCCAGGAACGAAGACTAAAAAAGTTTGTGAAACCAGAACCTCTAACTGTGGATGTGCTGTTTCTCGAATGCAAATGTATGGAATCAAACTGGCAAATTTAAGACAACAAAATATAAAAAATTTATTTCAAATAATTTGTATGGGGAAAAATACTCATACGCCCACGAGCACACAAACCGTTTGAGTATTTTACGCGGCTTCGACTAAAGCAACTTAATAATGGTGACATTTATGCGCTCCTTTGTACTCCTTTGTAGAGCTGGTTGTTGTTGTCGTTGTTTTGTTTTTTTTTTTTTGGGTTTGGTTTAGTATAACATATCAAAGCGTTTTTGGTATATATTGCGGATTTGTGCTATACGGAATCAGTCCACACTTTCCTATGAATGTTTATGAGCATTTAATATTTGACATTTTGTTGTTGTAGTCGGTTTATTTGGCTTTGACTTTGCCTCAGGATATGCAAATTTTATTTAATTTTTGTTTTTTTTTTTGAACAAATGTATTTTATTGAAGCCAAATTTGTTGTAGCTTTTTTGGTCCGGAAATTTTTATGGTTACTTGGTTATTTACTTAATAAATACTAAACAAACATTAAAATTTTATTTAGGACTTTTATTTGTGATAACCTGAAAGGTTAAACGCATAACGAGATTTCTTACCAAAGGGAATAAATTTATTCTTTCTCATTTGACTTAAAAGTTTAATCTGTCAATGTATGAGGTTCTTATTTATACTCGTATATATTATTTATACCTTTGTCACATTTTAAAAAGATAAGCAACAATTGTGAGCTGAGCAAGAGGGACTTGAAGGATATGCACAGGTATGTGTTTTTTCGAAGAAGAGATTCATTTAGTTAATTAACACTGAATTTGAAGTCTAGCCCTTTTTTTCGGATATTTAAGAATTTTAAAAGGATTTCTTAATAAAAAGGGGTATAGGTTGAGAAATCGAAATCTATTAAAAATTGTCTTTGTCTCATCTTGCTATGAAAGGTAGACTTATGGAATTAAATTTATTCTCATCAATTTCGGTATCTTTGTATGACACTTATTTGTGGAAACATTCAAATTTAATTAAATATTATATTATTTATTTAAAGTTGAAATAATATATTTAAAATATGAAAAATATGTGTAATGCTTGCAATTTGTTGAAATTAAATTACAAACTTATTGTTGCAACTTTTGTTTTACTAAGTCTGAACCATGTGCTCTACATTTCCTTAACTCAGAGAATGTATTTTGTCTTAATTAGTGTAGTAATAGGAGCACTTAACAAGAAATTGTGGAATATTATTTTCTGTAAATGTAATATCGTTAATTAAAGTGAGAAATGTTAAGTTTAATTCTATGTAATTTTAAACGATAATTAGCACTTTAACATGCTATCTCAATCTACTCAAATTTAAATTCCCTCAAGCTGATTTCAAAACAATTAAGATCTAAATATGGAGTACAAAGAGCAAATTATACAAACATTTGCAGTTTATTTATTTGAGGTGTTAATTATTAAATTGATTTAATAACACTTTGAAACGTAAATAGTATATAATGTTTTAATAAAGTTAGTGAGATAGATTGTTTTATATGGGATGATAATAATTATCAAGTAATTGCTTAAAAAGGAATTTTAACATTAAATCAAGAAAATGGTGAAAAAAAATAAATTTAAAGCAAATATTTAAGATTAATTTAATGAAAACGTTTTACTCAAATGAACACAAGCTTAAAGTCTGTGTAAAATAAATGGTCAATTTGTAAACAAATAGTGTGGCAGGTCCTGTTATAGAACTGTATAAATTATAGCAAGGTTGCCGAAACTAAACTTAAACACCGTCAGTCACATTAACTCCAAGATCCGAGAAAGTGTATTGGAACATCAAATCGAAGTATTTACGAGGGTCGCTATTTATATTTTAAGCCTAATAATGAAAAAATACTGACTTGTCGTTAAAAATTGCTTTATTGTTTCTCGAACTATTCTCCTTTATGATTAATGCACTTTGCATACGTTTTTTCTAACCTTCTACAGATACTTCCAAAACATGGTTTTAAATACAACAATGGCTTCTTCCGCCGACAAAAATCGTTGTCCCCACAATTTAGCAGTACTCTTGACGTTCGGGAATATGAAGAAGTCATTGGATGCGAAATCAGGCATCCACCTGTATGAAATGTGTGTGAGCACTCGCATTATTTGATGGAGATGAAGAATGATCCGACGGCGCTTATTTGCTTTCCGTATTTCACTGAAGACTTTCGGTAAACAGATGGTTGTATACTCGTGCCATTGGGAATTGACCGCTTTACGTTCCTGTAATGGTATACTCGTAGTTTTCCCGAAAAAATAAGCGACTATTTGTTTCGAAATGCTTCGAGCGCGAACAACTTTTGTTAGATTTGGTTTATACACCTATACAGTCGACAGCTGTTTACGTCCCGGCTCATACGCATATATCCATCACTCGTTCCCTATTATATTCTTTTACATATGACAAAACTCTGTTAAAAGATTAGTATTGAACAAGATGATGCCTATTGCCAAGAATGTAGGAATAGGCATTAGTGAATTTAGTTACTCAGATATATAACCCGATTTCAGAATAATTGTAAATAATATTGAATATACTTTTGACTTGTTTTTGTGTTTCTTTAATTAAATTAAAAAATTGAATTGAAATTTGATGTGTTTATATGTAAACCAATTAATCTAATAATTAAATTAATTATATTAGTCGAAATGTAATGTTAGATTTTTTAATATTAATAATGTTAATGTTAATTATGTTAATGTTAGCAATGTTAATGTCAAAGTTTTTTATTTTAAGAAATAAACGCATAAATATTAGTAATGAAAAACATTTTATTTTGTTATAGTTTAAATACAATTTTTTGTTTTAAATATAGAAACTAAAAATATATACTCATATGATTAATTGCTGCAAAATAATTCAAATATTTATATACACATACATTTAAAGGCCTTAAATTTTACCATATTATTTTCTATATATAATTAATAATTAGTTGCTAATAGGAGCTTATTTAATTTTGTCTAAGATATATTGGAATTCATACATTAATCTTATATATTGATGGATTTTTTTTGCTTATATATTATAATGTTTCATAGTTACAAATGTTTTGTTTTGATTGTGAAATTACATAAATTGATATCGGTGTTGTTAAGTTTATATAAAAGTCACCTATGATCATATTTCATGTAAGTACTTGTCAAGTCCGTAGCCAGTTATTTTCTTTGAAGGGGACTTTTAGATAAAATATTGCATACTATACTTATGTAAATCATTCACTTCCACCCTGATGCGGTAATAATTAATATCGATTAATTTCAGATGGATTCAATCCATAAAGTCCTACCTTGACTTCGTGCCTATAAATACCATATAACATTGATGGTACCTTTTCCATTTTCGTGATATAAAAATTATGTAAACAATACAAAAAATAATGCGGTCTGCCATTTTATGCCATTGGATCATTTTAAATATATTAAGAAATCTATGTGAGACAATGAAATAGGTTTGTATAATATATAAAAAAATATTTTAGGTGAACTTGTTTTTTTTTTTATATTTTATTTTTAAAATTTATTGGAAGAGACATATCTTATAAAACATTGTGTAAGGATCAGAAAAGATTATTTAGTTTGATTCAAACAAAATTGATCTTAATTTGATCAAATAAGATGTGTGTAGTCTTTATCACAAATACTCGAAGATTGAGAATATCATGTTTATATCGAAATGGAACCTACACTTAAAGTTCTTAAGTTATAGCTTTAAATAACTTGTCGAAATAAAGAGTCAGCCTAAAACTAACCAAATAGAAAGATATTGAGCATCACTGATATTTAACATATACAATCCGGATTTAATAATTCAAAATGGCTTTTAGTGGTGATTATATTTGACATGATTTTTTTATACCATTACTCGTACATAAAGAAAAAGTATTGACCCAACCACATGATTTGTGGATTAGCATATTTAAATGCTTTGTAAAATTAATTTCCTTAATCTATTTCATATACTTCATTTACCTACGTCAACTATCCAAAATTACGCCTATTATTAAGTGAACTTATAATATATACACTGTCACAAATATATTCAAATTATTTTACAAAAACTGTGCCATATCAATACTAGCATTCATTCTACATGGGCACCATCAATCTTTGGCCAGCTTCAGTCTTACAGCGATACGTTTACATTTCCACATCAGTTGTGTTTCCAAAATACTGAAAGACATTGCCACTAAGACGAGTCCTAGTAGTAGATACGCACAACAAGCAAACAATTGCACTTCAGGACCTTGAAAGGTGCGTTCTGGCAAGAAGTCACCATAGCCAATTGTAGTCAGTGTAACAAAACAAAAGTATGCACCATCAACAAGCGACCAATTTTCCCAGAATGCGAAAATGACAGTACCCAAGGAAATATAGCAGATAAGTATTAGCAATACGATACTGATGGGAACTTGTGCGCTTTGCTCGTAGTCGTCTCGCTGGTGAGTAGAGTCCGCTTCGTCGTCCTCATCGCCATCTGTGTCAATGCGATCGAGCACAAACTCCTCACTGCCACGCTGCATGTACTCATCATCATCGGAGGTTTCAGTGGTATCACCATAGCAGCTGCCATGGGTCAAAATCGTTGCTGTGCTGCCTTTTGCATGCATATTACACCCGCGAGCACGATTAACTAATGTTGACTTACGTTGACCGCTGCGTTGGAAGGTGTGGAGTGTATGACGATGAAAAGAAGCAGCTGTAGCATTAATTAGTCCACGTGTGGATTTATCCATGTCTTTCAGATTGACGTACTCATTCGTATTGACGTTGCCAGCAGTTTTTCCCGTTGGAGGTGAGATGAGTGGTACCCGTGATGGTGTACCGTGTGGACAGTTTCTGTAAATAGAACAACAAAATAAGTTTTATTTAATTTATAAAAAGGGAAAATAATTTCTTCTAGAAAATCTAAAAATGCAATAACAGAAAACAAACATTTTCGACTTATCGTATTTTATGGCATATTTAAGCTGCAGCAACCGTAAAAAGGTTGCCAATTATATTCACTTTCCTTTGCTGTTAAATTAGTTGTTTATTTTTTGTGAGTTAAGCTCATACACACATCCTGGCTAACAAATCCTTTTTCACAATTTAAATTGTGTATGAAGGGTTGACCTTTTTTCTGCATGGGAGCTGAAATCAGCTTATACATTTGCTTTTCTACTGATACTGTTAATCTAAGGCGGACTAATGGGGCTGCTGACAACCTCAGCCCCTACTAACGTAAATTATTGTTGAATCAGCTTTTGGAAATCAAATTGTGTTATTTAAGTTTAAAATCCTGTTAACGCTTTTACTGATACATACTTAAGTTCTTGATAAAAAAAATCAATCTGATTGCCAAATAGTTTTGAGCGCTTTTGAGCCAATTTAACAGCCGTTTTTAGCTCTTATTTTCTTTTTGTATGCTTTAATGGGGTTTTTTATTGTAGCTTGGGGACTTATTATCCTGCCTAAAAAATAAATAGTTGACAAAATAGCCTGTTGTTTCTGTTATAAATTTTGCTGCAGATAATTTGTTCGAAGATTTCGAAGGAGAGATAGAATAGTTTGATTTAGTATTAATTGTATTAGGAGAAAAATAGATGTTCACAATCCGATTATGGCTTCAAAGATCTTATCGTTGGAATGGGAAATCAAAAAAAAAATGTTATTCATAACATTCATGTAAAAGCTGTTTGCCTTTAAATAATCATGAGATTATGTATTGTTTATGTAAAAAATAAGCAAATTAATACAAACTTGACGTAAATATTTCTTATTTTTTTTTAATAAAAAGTTCTGATATATAGCCGTATTTTGGATTCATTTCTAATATTTTTAAGAGTATTCAGGATTTTAAAATATTTTTGAATAAAAGTTTTCTTTATTGAAAATGAATTCCAATCAAGTATATATTAGTCATTATAATTCGCGATCTCTTGGAATTTTTTAGTATCTTCATAATTCCAACCACCTAGAATTTCTGTGATTTATCGGCAAATTACTTGACTTAGTTATTTTCAGCAGCAATTCGATAAAACAGCTGGTAGGGAAGCAAGGTCCAGTTTATACATCAGATTAATCCCAACTTCCAAGTTAAGTGCCTGGCATTATGATGATGGAACACAACTTCTTCAATGTTGATAACTTCTGGTTGCTTTTCTTTAATTGTTTCGAAAAAATGTTCGTTTGGCATAAACTGCTTAGTGTTACCAGATATATATACCAACACCATGCAGTGACATACAACCATGGTTATTTTTAATATTCACCCATATTCATATGGTATATCCTGCGCTTGTCAAGGAGCTGTGGGATCTTGAAATAATGAATATTGTAAATTTACTAATAGCTTTCATTTGGTCATATTAGATCAGGAGATTTCTTGAAAAGATAACATTGCGGATGTAAAAGACCTGTTATCCTTATAATAACATGACGGGTTTATATTCATTTAAGTTAAATTGGTACTATTTAGAGCTTCAAAGTTCACATTTAGCTTTCAAAAGAAGTAAAGAAGTAAAGGCAGTATATGTTTCACATAGAATAAACACTTCTAAGCATTTCATTATTATACTCCCATCTTCTGCTATAAGCAAAAAAGAAAAACATTTTATGTAAAATAACGAACAATTTCCTTAGTTAAGGAGCAAAGCTTCTCATTTAACTGATCGAATGATAATATAAAGAAAAATATGACAGTTTGTAATAAAAGCCATCCACTGCAATCATTCCCGTTTGATGATAAAATATAATACAGAGACAATTTAAAAAGAATTCTATTGGTCTAGGATCTCATTTCATGCATAAAATCAATTTAAAATCAAATAACAAAATCCTTATTAGAGACAACAAAACACACAATAGAAAAATAGATTCACCCGTTGAAAACTCACTCAATATCATAAAAACCGATACTCAAGGCACGTTTCTGTTGCTTCGAAAGATAAAATGAAATCGCATCGACCTACTCCTACCCACCAATACGCAGATGTTCTACTTCCGGAACATATGGACGGAAATATTCATGGAGCTGTCTTAGGGAGGCGACATCGAAAGTGTTTTGCAATGCCTTTAATGGTCATTTGATGCACGTAGCCATGTGCGGTGGAAAAGTTGAAGTTGACAGTGCAAATGGAACACAAAATTTAAGCTTTAAAAATAAATCGCAAAATAATGAGACAAAATGTGCCAACGGAATAATGCACATGTGCTTTACACATTTGCTGCTACTCGAACAATGCCGACATAAAAATTTATAAATATTTTTCGAGTGCACAGTGAGAAGGAAGTAATAGGATTTCTAAGTTGTTGTAGACACAAGCTGCTTATAATAGTTAAGATACAAAAACAGTAAGCCAAATGCTTTTATGCCACAAACTTAAAATGATTGAACATGTTCAGTCTTCGATGAGGGCAATCAAAAGGCACATGAGTCCAAATGCCAACAAGACGAAGTATTTTCATATATGCCCGGAGGTGATGTTGATGAAGTGAGATTGGACGACTCTAGGTGCTGTTAAAAGGACTTTGACATTAAGTCGACAAATACTTAATGTTCACTAAAAAGAAGTAAAACTTTTGGTTCCATAGGAAAGTCTCTTTTTTTGCCCACATTTTATTTGTAGTTGTATTGTTGTATAACAAGTAAATTACTATGAACTGTGAACTGCAAGAGAAGTCAGTTGGTTGGCTTGTGGCATTACATCAGTCTTCTTAAATTTATTTTTATTTGTTAAACTATTATATACTAAAGTTATAAAACATAAAATACCATTTATGTAACCAGTACCGTTCGTCATAAGTATATGTTAAATAAAAACTTTACACAAATTGGTAAAAGAAACTAGAGCTCTGCTTACAAAATACAGTTCTTAAAGCACATATTCAATTGGAAATATATCCTTGTTTTTAGTAAGTTACATAAAAAGAATTCTTTTATCTCTTATGTTATTGAAAAATTTTACTTCTATTGTTACAAAACAAAAAATTCTAATTTATGCCGTATATCACTCACATATCCTTCCCATCGACATGCAAAACTTTTTTATCTCCTTCAGCTGCAAATACTTAAAGTACTTTGTCAACAAAACATTGCAAATTCCCTCACTTTTTATGGAAACTTCCCCCTTCAGCACTTGTGTACAGCTGCCGTCGAAAATGCGGTTAACCATATTTTCCCTTCACGTTTATTAACGCGCTCCGCACTAATTTATTTGTTTAAATTAATTATAATATTTTTTTCTCTGTTAAATGCCTTTAACATACTTCAGGTTCCTTGTGTTCTTTCGAGATTTTTAAATAAATTTTCACAATCTTTCACTGGCATCTTGTAAGTGTTCGTAATTAATTTCAACTTGAGTCTGATTCGGGTCAATTAATTTTGCTTTAGTACGTCATCACGTTTCCTTCACCAAACACAGGTTCTCCAAGATTTATGCTTCGGCAGCGAAAAGGACGTGAGCGATTTTTTCACCTGAGCATAATGGTTACAGGTATTTTATTGGATTTTGATTAAGCTAAAGTGCAAATGTCGAAATTTCAACATACTTAGACTAAATTTGTTGAGGGGCTCGTCTCATTTGTTAGAAACTTTCCAATTCACTGATTCTTAAATTTGATTGTCTTATTAGATAACTGCTACGTACATTTTTAATATTTTAAATATGTCAATATATAAATACTTAGATATAAATTGGATAATAAGAATGGGTTTTAAATTTATAATGGAGAGTCAAAGCATATAAAAAATGAATCAAATTTCATTAATAAATACAGACGATTAGATTTTCGCCAAAGAGCGATGAAATTCAATTTAAAGGCGACTAAATTTAACACCGTAAGTATGGAGAAAATATAGTGATATACATCCATGTATACATATGCATGTGACCTTTAGCGTTGCTCCATTTCATTGAGATAAAGCCATTATCTCACCAGGCAAATCTTCATAGCATGAAATATTTCGTCGCAATTATAGTGGGTAACTGGTGTGAAGAGAGATTTTTTGTCCACCCTTAACGATAAATAGTTTGATAAATTGTCTAAAAATAAGCCTAATTCTGGAGGCTAAAGCTTTGCAGTCACAGAAAAAATGTAGAATTTTTTATTTTTCCGACAAGTTTTCACAACTTCCACAATAAGTATATGAAGTTTAAGTTTGCGTGGGTTACTATAGATCAGTGACTGGAAACAACTTCAATAAACATTACAGTATTCACATGATCTCTTTAATGACTTCCTAAGACCTGATCTTATTATATGAAGGTTTAGCTAACCGGAAAGTTACATATTACTGAATCCAGGGAGGCATCTTTGAATTCTGCTGAGATTTTAAATGATATACCTTTTGTCCAAACTACAGAGACTTAAGTGAGTATCGAATATACAACGGTCGTATTCATCCAAAGTGTAATATCGAAACGCATCATCCATTATTTTTGCTAAACATTCTGTTACAAGAATAGAAAGCTGTTTAGGTGTTCATGACCTTTACATCGATATTGACTTTCAAATTTAGCTTACTCTTCAGCGGTATTGTCTAAGTTTTTGTATTTTTTTAATAGTTTTAGTATGGAATCAGATATTATCAGAATTAGTTAGAATATTGTAATGAAATCAAACAGAAGTACGTAAATTAAGTTTTATACTTCTTATAGCTTATTAAATATATATATTTTTTTTGGTCTAAAACATAAATACTATTTGCTCTTACATATTGCAATACCCACAAATAATAACTATTTTATTAAATTAAGATATATTGGAGTGTGTATGTATACCTTAATTACCCTTTCACCAAATCTAATGTGCTTAAATGAAACTTTCTACAAAATACTTAAAAGCAAAAGTATTTAAAACTGACAAAATTAAATTAAATACATAAAACCCAAATACTTTGTACTCCTCATACTCTCCATAGATATTCCGATTTGAATAAAAGTCAATGGAATAATGAAATTTACAGTTTTCATGTATGAAAGGAATTCACACAAAAGCTCTACTTAAAATGAGTTAATATTTTATACAAATATACAAAAGAACCCTTCTTCGGTTGACAGAACAAATTTGACACTGACCACTTAATAAATCAGAACGAGTCCAACGACAACCGACGACAGCTACTGCAGCCAGAGAAAATGTTAAGGAAAACTCCGAAAGGAAAATGTGGCAGACAAATGCCTCAGTTACTGCCAAATACCAGGACGGACGCTTTTGTAAGTGTTAAAATTTGCATTCACCAAAGGAGGTTTTGTGTGTGTGGAATGTGACCAGAGAAGTGGTCGGCATTGGTGTTTGCATTTGGAGTGTAAAGGAATTTGTCTCAAGTATTTCTTATGTGGATTTCTACATTTCTTTGGTACCATTTAGTACTGAGTGAAATAGCAAAAAGTTAGGGCTGGCATTGGTATTCACATGAGGAAAACTTGTATGAAATATTAAACATTTTATTGGTAACTAAAGCCATACCAAATCCAAAGGATATACGTCGGATATATTGTGAAAACTATTTTCGAATTATTGATGTTGCAATGATAGCATTATTTGTATTTTCGATTTTTTCCTTCATTAGAATAAAAATTATTTAACTAATTTTATTTGTTTAGGTTTAAAAGTTTAAAGGATTGACTAAGACTTTCTTCCATGAAACCCATTAGTTATATTTGCAATGTAAAGAAAATTAATTTCATTAGTTATTAATACTAAATGTAGGACCTTTTTCCATGATATGATAATGTGTTGATTATAACTATTAACTATTTATTTAAAATGATTATTGCTATATTATATGCCATAAATTTTAGTTTCAATAATATTTACCTACTCATTGTACTTAAACGAAATCATTATATATTCAGTAAGTTCTCAAAGCATCTAAAATTCTAACACTCACCCAAGGCGTTGTTGTTCACTCTCCTCTTCATCCTCCATTATATCTACAGTGGTGTTCGAGCCATCAAAAGTGCCAACACTACTTAAAGTGTTGGTAGTATCTGCATTAGTTTTTGTAGCTCCCATTGTTGCAGTAGACGAAAGCTCTGTATTGAGGGTATTTTGTGAACCATCTGCTCTGTAGGTAACGTCGCTTTCCGCTAGTAACGTACTTATTTCTTGTGGCAAAGGTTTCGTTAGAAATTTGGCGCGTCGCACGCCTGAAATAGAAGAATGAAAACAAAATTTATTATGTTTTCAAATTATGATAAAGCACATTTTGCACTCTTTTGTATAAATAATAATCAAAAGAAATATCTATTATTGAAAACTTTCTAATAAAGTTTTTAAACAAGTTTGACACAAAATCAATTTGCAGCACATTAAAAAATAAATCAAGCACATTTGAGCATATTTGCTTGCCTTTCAAACTTCAACATGACACGTTCATCAAATTCAATAATAAATACCTTTCAGCTTTTCAACGATTGGAACTCTGAGTTCTCCTCGTCGAGCATTGCATAAGTGCTGCGCTCCTTGGGTGCTCGATATTAAATCGAAAATTCAGTCACGTGCATTGGTTATGATAACAACACCTTCAAGCACCAACAAACACAAAAACAAAAATTTGTAAAAAAAAGTTGAATAAGTTTTTCTTTAAAAACTGCCTCATCAAGTCGTCATGTCGTCAAGTCGTCATGTCATTGTCATCATCAATAAGTCGAATACAAAGCACCAAAAGTATTGGGAAAAACCACAAGAAATTCTTTTTATATCTTGTATTGAAGGTGGCACTTTGTCTTTGACTTCGACTGTCTGCTTTGCTTTCCATACAACTGAGACTTGGCAAAAGTTTCATCGAAGTACTTTTCAAGTGCTTAAATGCATCATTTTTACGCCAAGTTGATCCGCATTAAGTAGCGAACGTATTAAGAAGTTTCATTGTACCTGGATCCATAGTCCTGAATCGAATGCGTAAATTGCTGCAAAGTGATTGATTGAGACGCGTTGGTTTGTAGATGTGACATTTCATTTATTATCGTCGCGAATATTTGTCATTTTATAAAAATGGTGAATAATTACATTTCATTGTAGAACCAGCCATTTTCTCAAATATAGTAGCTGTAATTAAACCTCTGAGGACTTCAAAGATTGTTTGACTTTCTAGCATATCAAAAGCAAATCTATCAAATGTAAAAAACAAGCCGTAAGATTTTAAAAAGCACTTTTTAGATCATTAATGGGTTTTTCAAAATAAAGCTATTAAATAAATTTTTTATTATAGAAAAATGTAAAAAACTGATTGCAAGAAATGGAAAAAATTGATAAGGCACAAAATCATCATTTGCAAATAGCATGATGCTATTATTATTACTACCTTATTACCAGGACCTTAACAGAAGATGCTTTTGGACTGTGAATATTAATAATAATATAACGGATTTCCTAACTTTAGTCCGTAAAAAGTCTTTAGTCTTCTCTTTGTAAAAATATACTTCGAACTACTCAGAGTGAAAAGCTGTAGTATCTTGTAAAGATTAAAAGTAATTTATCCAATATGGCCCCATAAAATAAGCAACTAATTTCAATCTGCTTAAACTAAAGGTAGTATTCGAAAATTTATTTGTGATGGATTTTGTGACGACTAGCAATTGTTAAAGTTCTCAGAAAAGAAACTGGCAATATCCAAAACACATCTTGATCGGTAAAACACTACAACCGCGGCAGAGATGGGCTGCAAAGTTAAGGCTTGAATTAGACAAAACTGTGTCATAGTGGAAACTAAATGGTTGTTCAAATGGATATATCCAGAATGATCATATAATAAATATACAAAAACGAGCTCAAAGTAAAATCCTTAAAGTTTGAAAAGAAACAAGACTTCACTATTTTCTGAGAATAGCTGAGCTAAAGCTCAGTGATTAATTTGCAAATATCGACAAATTTCTCAATAGAACAATTAATACGCAAACAACATGAACAAGTTTACTAAACAGAGGTGTCATATTCTCATAGGTTCGAGTTTTTGCACTTCCCTTTGTAATAGTTTGGACCTTAACAAAAAGTGGTCGTTCTTTAATGTTTGCAGCGAAAAGCTTGAAAGAGTATATTGACGCCGAGAGTAATCAAAAATTTTGATAAAATGAAGCGGAAATTTTAATAAAATTTTGTATAGTCATATTCCTTCACACTCCTTCATCTTTGAATTGTTAGACTATCACTTGTGATAGCCTCTTGATAATTTTTCTATTTTTTCTTTAATGTTTACAGCTTAGAAGCTTAGAAGATCAAAAATATTGATGAAATGGAGTGGACATTTCAATTAGATTGTGGACAGTCAAAATAGTTACATATTTTCCACATTAAACTCTTCGGACGATGAACAAATAAAAGAAAAAATTATGTATTGGGTTTTTTAAATATCTTTAAAAACTAATTTGAAAAAAAAATAATTGATGGTATAAGAAAAAATCAATTACAAGAGATCGCTTAAACTTAATCCTAGAATAATTGAAGATAAATATTAGTAACTGTGTATATATATACCTATATTAAGTATATATATTGCTTCCAGATCGACTAACAGTTGTTTGAAAGGTACATTTTGAACTTAATTTTGATCGCACAGTGACCCTTAACATCATCAAATGCAGATAATTCAAATACAGCGCATTTTGCTTATCAAAATCAATATTTAAAAATACCCCGTTCATGTTTTATTAAAATAGAACTATAATTAGAGAAAAGGTGTTGTCTTATTATGTTTTTTGTATTAATTCGTACTTTAATTGAACTGAGTTCATATATAAAAATAAGTATTAAAGTTAACAAAATTCAATGTGCCAACCAACAGCATCAAAAATTCGAAAAAAATAAAACAGAAAAGCTAGCAGTCTGTACTTAAAATAAGTTAAAAAGAAGAAAAACAAAGTAATTAAAAATTCAAATAAAATAAATTCAAATAAAAAATAAATAAAATTTGATATTCCAAAATTCTTAGTACTTTTAATCAAAACTCTTCTAATCAGCTTTCTCTAGTAACTAAAAACCAAATCAAATGAACTAACAAATGCATTCATTCAATTTCCTCCAATTAGGTTTTTACATTGAATGCAGTCAACTTCATGTGTCAAACGTAATACCGACCAACGACAGAAGTTCATTGAAAAACAAAAAAAGTGCGAATCAAGGGAAAAGGTGACAAATAGCGTTGAAAATGTTTGAAACAAACACACATGACCGAACATAAATACTACAGACTATCAGCGCCAACCATGGAGATACTGAAGCAGAACTTGTTACTGTTAAAGCGCTAAACGATGTTAAATGCAGTTAAACCATGGAGCTGACATTAATGTGATTAGCAATGAATAACAACAACATGAACAGCAAGCACAGTGACAATAATAATAACAACAACAACCATGGAGGGCAATGGATAAAGGGACATCAATGTGGAGAGAAATGGTTTGCAACTTTGATGTTGTAAAGTATTTTCTGTTTGTTACATCCTCGCTTAATTGGAATACAGAAAATAAGAAAAATAAATAAAAATTGGCTTTCTATGTTCAGGCAAACTGTGTTTGGTTATATTCCACTGTTGCTGTACATAAAACTGACTACATTTAATTGGTTTTGTGCTATGGATTCGTTATACATTAATGCTTGATGCAGTCACATTAATTAACTTCTAACAGTTGAGTTGGTTAAATAACAGAAATTAATTTTGTTATATGAAATGTAGATGGATGGATATGTTATATGTTAGACGATCTGTGGCGAACCACTTTGTTAATGTTTGGCATACAGTCGTAGAGTAACTAATCTCCTCCCATATATAAACATATAAAATATGCTATATTTTAATTTAATTGAACAATTTAAAAAATATTGAATACGAATTAGTTTTACTAATAGAAAATTTAATTTAATAGCTGTGACTAAGAAAATAATATTGTATAATAAAAAAAAAATAAAATATTAAAATATACTTCTCATTATAATTAATATTATAAGTTATCGTTTTAGTTTCTTCACTATAAAAAATGCTCTATTCCGTTATCATTTATTTTTTTAAACTTATTTAATTATCATATTGAGGCCGTGTGCGTGTTCGAGTAAATTGATGGTAAATTAAGGGACATAGTAAATTATGTCGGTATGGCAGCTAATGTTGATATTTACCGGAATTTCGAGTAGGGTAAATTATATAAAAATTAGGTGTTACCATTGTGAACATTCTATAAGATGTTTAATAAATAAATAAATAAATTTGAAAACTTTAAACAAAAAATAAGTAAGTGCAATAAATAGATAAATAAATATTTACAGTGCAAAAAATCTCTAGGTAATTTTCCTTTACTTCACTTCAATTTACTCGAACTCCCACTCGGCCTGAAAATGTTTACAAATAAATTTTTTTGATATTAATATTTTTAATGTTGTTAGTTGACGAGATTCAATTGATTTTAACAAAGAACATAGCGTTTAGAGCTGTTGCATAGCACTTTTTATATTTTCAGTTATTTGTTGGTTGGAACTTAAGCTTTAATTGTGAATGATTATGTGAATGATCTGAATGATTATTAGGTAATACATTGAAAATATAACTCAAACCTACTACCATAAACCTTTTCTCTCCACCGAGTTGCCCAATTATTTCTCAACTGTGTTTATAAACATTTATATAAATAAAATACATAAATAATTTATCAATAAATAAATGATAAATAATAAAAAAAAGTGCTGACTGAGTGGACTAAAAACACGATATTAAAATAAAAAAAAAACAAATAATCTTTACACAAACTTTTTGAATATTGAAAGTATCATTTCGCCATTTCGTAGTGCCTTCAATTTTGCTGATATTCCATTTACGACTTTTGTATTTGATGCTTGTGGCTGATAGCTTTAAGATTTGCTATTTGAGTTATTAACTAAAAGTTTCAGCATAAATTTGTGTCTACAGTTAAATTTGATGCTGAAATTGCACTCATTATAAACACAACTTTCAGTAACTACGGATAGTTTATGAATTCATTTCTTGTAATTTTCTCAAAACTTTCTCTATAAATTTTTCAAGCAATTTTTAAGTAATCTCGACTAAATGTAAATTATTTTTCAAAAGCATTAAATTATTTTGTAAATCATAATTTTGTAAATAACTAAATTACTAAATCTACTGTAAAAGATAGAGTACCCAAACTAGATTACACTAGACATTTTTATTGCATTTTGTATTCAGAGCACTCAACACTGTTCATAAAGTTCATATCTGTGATGAGGTATGTTTAATTTCTTTATGGCATAGTGTACGTTCAGTACTTAAAGCTGGTGGTTAAAAATTCTCCCCGTTGGCAATAATTATTTCTTAATAGTGTGTTCAATAAAAACAAAGAGTAAAAGTAATTAAAAGTACTGATAAGTAAATGGCAACTAATATTATTTAAACTATACAAAATAATATGGAAAATACGAAGAGAAATGCCACATTTTACTCTGAAAATCATTTTTAATAAACTGGTAAGCAATTAGGAAACAATAATCTCTTGATTTACTGCAAAATTTAATATTTTTCTTTCATTTAATAAATTTGATTGAAGAACGTAAAATAAATTAATTAAAATTCAATTACTACTCACCATGCACTGTAGCTGTTTGATAAGCGGGTGGGGGCGGTAATGTTGCTGTCGTTAACGCAACTTGCTGACCTGCATTGTCGACGTCAGTCATATAAGGTTTTTTATGTTGCTGCAATTGAATTGTGTGATATTTTACGAGCGGTTGACTGCATGAAATCTGTTGTGTTGTTGAAGATGTTGTAGTTGTAGTTGCTGTTGCTGTTGCTTCTGATGAGGATGATAAGGATGTTGCTGCAGCTAGAGTGACCGCTGGTGTTGTTGCTATTGGAAAATAAATTGTTGCCGCTCCAGTCACAGCAACAGCAGCAGGTGTGTAACAATTTGGTGGCATGTTGCTACAACTAGCAACACCGCCACTATTGTTAGATATCACGTTGCAGGGATTTGGAGATGTCTGAAAACGTACCATGCTACTTGGCACTGCTACAAAATGCTGCTGTTGCTGTTGTTGGTAGTGTTGTTGTTGATGTTGGCGTTGTTGTGGTTGTAGTGTGGCATATTGACGTAACATTTGATGTGTTGGTGATGAATTTGCCGATGCTGAAGAAACAATGTGTATTGTTTGCAATGGATGCTGAAAATGTTGTGGTGATGGTGTTGCTGAACGACTGTAATGTTGTTGATATGCATACTTTTGTGTTGCCGTTGCTGTCGATGTTCCCGCTGCAGCGGTTGTTGCTGTAGTCATTAGCATGACATCAGGTTGTTGCTGTTGTTGTTGTTGTTGGTATAAATGTGGCATTGTTCGTTGATAATAATATCCATTATGCGCTGCTATTGTTGCTTCTACTGGTGCTTTCGTTTGCATACACAAAGTATTGTGATTAATTTTTGCTGGAGAGTTTTGCAGGAGCTGACAGGAATCTGTCGGGTAAAAAAGCCAAATTCAGGGAAGTAGTAAGTTGTTAGTTTTGAATTAATTTAATTAATGAGAACTTTTTCTAATGATGAACTTTTGAACTTGTTTTAAATAAATTTTAAATAGAGTTGCTGAATAGTATGTTATTTAACTTACCTTCACCCCTGTCACTTGTATTGCCCTCCAAGCAGTTGTATTCAAAATTTTTTCGTATATTTGGGTCACTTATAATTGCATCATATTTGCAAGTCTTACAATCCAACTGGAAAAAAAAAAAAATTAATTAAAAATATTTTTAACTATTCAAGCTTCAATATAAACATGAATTAAAATACTTCTGGGTAATTTTAATTAAATGTAATTGTAAGAATAGTTTAGACTTTCAGATACATTATACTTAATCTTCCTATTATTATTAATAGGTATATGATGGCATAAGTGACTTCTAGTAGTGAAGGTAAGATAGTGTTTTAAATCAACTGTTGTTATATATGTGGCGATTATCTTATTAAAAACAAGTCGTAAATATAAGAAGAACCTTACCTGGTTTTTAATTAGGATGGCATATGGTTAAATAAATTGGTATGTCGATTAGGCAAGGGCTACATTTGACGATTATTGTTGAAGTTGTAGAATAAAATGAGAAGAAAAACGGTTATTTCGCTCCTGCTCAATACACGTTAAACGGCGCATATACAATGTAGTCCACTTTCATCATAAATCGTTTTAATGAAAGAATGCAGTGACTAATGAATGTTACAGTAGTTCATCGCATTTTAAAAATTCTCAAACGTATAACAGCTGCACGATTCTTCAAATCATAAGGTTTCCAATCTTCCTGTTATTTACTTATAAAATCATTATACATACCGTCTTAAAATAGATAGAGATAGATAGAGGTTCAGGGCTTTTTATACATGATAATCTGTCAAACAAAGTTAATGCTTGTGCATATGCTAAGTCTATGTTATGCCAAGGCAAAGGATTATGGTTACAATGCTCTTGATACGTGATTTTGACAATATTCTGTTAGTAACAGTTGGAGTCATATGAGTACGGTTGAATATAACTTCTCACTGAGTGAGAAGACTATTATAAAGTAGTACATTGCGCTCTTAAAAGCATAAACTCCTTATTTATGGTCAACTATGAAATGCCCATATAATGAAGTTACTTAAACTACTTCAAATTGTTAACAAAGATGCTGCGTGGTATTACTTAATTTTAGCTACAATGCTTTTCTGCTCATTTAAACACAATTTTAATGTACTGAGTTTATGACCAGAAAACTTTCCAACACTTTTCAACTACTTTAAGCTGTTGTTACAGGAAAAAAGGAATCTATCCACTTCCAACAAACCATATTGAATTAAAACTTTATCCTTAACTTTTAAATTTTTTGTAAGACCAGAAAAATTCGCTGTATATTTTTAAACTAATTTCATTGTTGTATACAGTTTTGTGTTTCATTTTGAAATTCTTTGGCGATTGTTTTAATTGTTCTTTTATTGGTTTAGTTAAGTATTTATTTCAATTAAAACTTTTCACACTAAATTTGCTGTGTTGAAAGCGGTCATGTAATTTGATACTATTGTTAAGATTTTATTCCATTTGTAACTAGATTAGCGGCGCTTTCTGTAGTAAATTTCATCTAAGGTTTCAATAAAACTTGCAAACGCTTTCACTGATGCTTATTACTCATTACTCAAAAGTAATGATTTTTGAGAACTTTTCGACATATAGCATATATAAATTGAATGATATATTTGACATAATAAAAAAAAGTCCAATAATGAAAAATTGCCATCCGCATCCGCATCTTCAGTTTCACTCAAATTTATAGTTCTAGTGATAAGAATTTATGGTTTGTGCCATACTATCGTTACTTTCATAAAGGTACAGACCTAAGACCCCGCCTGACTTCGTTCTACACTAGTTGCAAAGATCTTTTGCGAATGCACTGGTCTTTTACAAGTGAGTTGTGGATTTACAGTGTACCAGATGTGACAGTTGTGTTTATTGACATGTCGTGCAAGTTAAAAAAGGTTATAAAATAGTCCATATTAAAAAAGAACTAACATTTAACTAAACATTGATGTGCTGGATGACAATTCTGCTTGACATATGTTACTGAAACAGTGACAACTCTTCACCAGTACTTAAACTTGACTTGACTTTACTTTGTCCACAAGTACTTACTGTAGTTAAGTAACCATGGAGTCACCTACCTTTCTGTATTCCTATTTACTTTGCCAGGTGATATACAAGTTAAGCCTTCAAATAATTTTTTATTATTAAATTGAAAAATCCATCATATGTCTAAAAAACCAAAATATACTCATGTACATATATTTGCAGACTTAATTAACCAAATACATTGCTTACAAGTTGGAGGTCGCTGTAAGTAAAATGTTGAAGAAGAAGCTTTAGGTGGAAAGTAGCAAGATTTATATTGTGAAGTTGAAGTGTAACCACAAAAGGATGACGTGATGAAAACGGTCTTAATTTCGCCACATCTATGATGAAATGTTTCGAATAATTGTGTATTGTGGTTTTCATTGTAACAAATCTACAACGTTTAACCAAAATGGTTTCAAGTTTATGTTGCCATTGGCAGGCAGACCAAAATCTTATCACAAAATTAATACGTGCACCCACATATGTTTGTGGTTATTTTGCGGATGCGTAACACAAATTTATAACAAACAAATTGTGAAAAGTTACTCGATACAATAAACATAATAAACATAACAAATTTATTAAAATTTGAAATTTGGAAATTTTAGTTTTCAATCAAACTTTGTTAAAAACCACAACAGAATGTACTACACAAGGTAAATGCTCTTACAGATCGATAAATGAGGTTCATTAAAATGATTTGTTTGGTTTAAGTATCGGATTTGTAGAAATAAAATATTCATAATAAACTTATTTAATTTAATCAATCAAAGTTTATTTTAAAACTCGTCTCACCACATTTTCGAGTCCGAGTCCGCCTTCGACTGGGCGGACTCACTTCTGTCACTAACCGAAACAATCATTAAATTATAATTCTCTGACAGGATGGTTTGTGGGCCAATATTTCTTAATTTGATTGTTCCCGATTTACAAGCAAAACTTTTTGGTACAAATTGACCTTCTGGTTAGCGCCACACCAGAGCAATTCGCACGCAACAAATAACCAAGCATTCCGGTGTTAAGAGTCCTTCCATTGGTATTTTATTTTATTTAATTTTATATATTTTATTTTATTTCATTCTTGAAGCAACGCAACATCTGCTGTCTTGTTTTAGTTGCCAAAACTAATATTTTTCAAAAGTGTGTTTACAACAATAAAATTACTGCTCATATGTCTTCGCAGAAGGACAAGAGTAGATTCTTACTGCTCCTTTGGATACCACCATGGAAACCATGGAGGCAAGCAACTATGGTGAAGACCTTAAATGAATTCTTCTGAGAAGAGAAAGTAAGAAAAATTAAATTCAATTTGATTGCACAAAAGTTACTTCAAATATCAAACTTTTGTTTCACATTACTTGGGAAACTTCTGAAGAATGTTTCTTTGCATTATTTCCATTAAAATTCGTATCTGTTGTTGTTTTTTTTTGCACTTGGTTTGACTGAAGTTGAAAGAAAAAGTAAAATTTTGGCATATTCTAAATGTTCTTAAATGTTTTTGGTTACTAAATGGAAGGTTCACGCAGATACACCCCGTACGCATACTGTCTGCTGCATAAGGACGCTATTCAGATTTGATGTAATTGTTAGGTGCTCTTTAAAGTTCGCCATTGATAAGAGTTCCAAATGGCCAATGAGTTTCATTAAATAAGAGTTTAAGTGCTCTTTCTTGTATGGCTATGTAATGGAAAAGATACTTGTGGACTGTAATAAAATTAAAATTATTTAAAAGTTAATTTAATTATTTTACTAAAAATATATATATTGGAAAGAGGAAAAAGTTGCTTTTAGCATGGGGTACAGTTTCCTTGATATGATATTTCCATAAATCTAAAATAATTGAAATACCCGTAATTAGGAAACACCACTAACGTTTTCTAACCATCAAGATATATGTTATCTTCCACTATTAATATATGAATAAGTATACATATATGGTAGTTAGGTAGATACGCAGGTAGACAGTCTGATAGAAAAATAAATAAATATATTGACAAATAGATGCTTCATTTAAATAAAAAATCGGTACTGTAATCATGGCAAATCTTTTGTATTACAATTGACCGAACCGAAGGCATTCGGCCTTTTTAATAAAGACCATAATGGTGCATATAGTATCTATCATAGCCATATACAAATCTTGGAAACCTGTTGTATTTTACTTGGTACAACATTGAAGCATTTTCTTCTACCTTAAAAAAATAAACAAAATGATTACAAAGCAGTGGGTTATAGTAAAGTTACTGAAGGATCTTTAAATTTTTTTACCTTTTTTCATGCCACGAGTGGCTTTGCTAACTAGTTGATTGCCTAAGTTGATTCTCTTATATAGTGTCATTGTCTGATATATATAATACATAACATCATAAAATCTATAGATTCAAGATGAATCTATAGATTCAGATTCAAGATTTAGGTTGTTCCTGTTAGAAAACTTGTGCAATCAACGTCTTCAAAAAATACCCTTCTTTTTGCAATTTGCATTGCTTTGGATATACTATTTAGTAAGAGTGCCACATCATCGATATGTCGATGTTATAACCATATTAGATCACTAAGTACTAGCATTTAAAATTTTATTTCCAAACGACACTGTTATATAGAGAGCTTACGAATTTTTTAAACCCTTGAATGCAGTGTACCATAAGGAAGTTGAGAAATACTCCTTTAAGTAATTCTTAATTTTTTAACTTATCGCGTATTGTTTTTATATATCCGAGAAAACTGCATACAGTTATTTTACACTTTTTATATATTTATAAATAGGTAAATAGGTTATTCAAGAATTTAAATCGTTTATTAAACCAATCAATTAAACTTTTACAAATGATATTCAAGGATTCGTTGGTTCATTTAAAAAACTTTACAAATTCTTACAAAATGGTATTGAATTGCTTAAATAATATTTGATAAATTTTTTAAACAGGTTGCATTTACCTAACTTGTTGGGTTAGTTAACTGCAGATAAGTAGAACTTATTGCAGTTTAATAACAACAAAAGTTGTGCTGCAGAGAATGCGTTGTTTTGGTTGCAAGTTCGAAAACTGCATTACACTTTTATTGTGTAAATTTTTCAATTAGTGTAATTTCATTGAGTATTTCGCTTAAGAACTTCTTTGTTATTGTTTTCGAAAACCTAGTTTCCCTATTATGTCAGTTTTTTCCAATTTGTTTAATTTCATCAAGTAATGTCGCTTAACTTCGAGTATTTCATTGTTACTTTTTTCACATATTTTGTTGCAATGTTAAAGTCCTTTGTTAATTTATAATTAATTAATATACTAATTAACTTTATACTTAATTTAACTTAATTTTTTTTTTTTGACTTTAGAACAAACAAGTCGCATTTTTTATTTTTGAAAAATCCACTTGAACTGCACGTCAACATTTTATGCGATTGCATTATTGTGCATTATTGCAGCATTTTTCCCACTATTTTCCACTTTGCTTGGGAACAAAAATGCTTAGCGTGGAATATTTTCGTGTTGTAATTACTCAGCGAAGTATGCGCTCGTGTTGTTTTTATTGCGTGGAAATTAAGTGCTTCAAAATTTTAATGAAATTTTTGAGTTATCGTGTGTAAACTTTTCGTTTCAATCGCGTGCAAAACAACCAAAACACGGACGTAATTAATTTGTAGTGTTGGACATTTTTATTTGAGTTGCAGATTTCGTTAATTTTTTTCTTTGATTTTGCCAATTAAATCTGAAACTTCGTTTTAATATTTAAAATAGTTTTATCAGAGGAATTTGCGTGACACCATGTGGGGAAACACCTTCAAGTGATTACTCCACATTTGACTTCATGAACTTATGTTCCCTCTTAAGGACTATAAGATTACATTTTATAGAAATACAACATAAGCTCACTAGATTAAAGTAAAATTGGAATAAAAAAAATTTTATAAGGAGCTTTTTGGAAAAGTACTGAACTACAACAACAAAAATTTTATATTATTTTAATTAATTGAAGCTTTGGCTGAACATATAGCTGTTTCGAGTACTACCAAATACCCATCGTCAGTGGTCTTGGAAATAGTTCTTGTATTTAATTACATATTCGTAAATAATTTTCTGAGACTGTAAGTACCAGGAATCGAACTCATGCCCTGCCAAATTTTAAGCTCAAAGTCAACGTAGCTTAACCAATTGACCCAAATCCGTACTAGACTTTTATGTTCGCACATTTTTCTGGAGTTTTGTTAATTTGCTGTGAAAGTTTTATTAACAAATTCATTTTCTGTGTTCATATTAGAACGAAATCAGAATAATTGAATTAATTGATTATATTTTTATTTTTAATTTTTAAATTTCAATACTATTGTTTGTAGAAAAATTTTTTTTTAAAAACTGCTGAAAATATCGGTGCTGTGAAGCAAAACAAGGATAAAAATCGAAAACCATCAATTAGGCGTTATTCTTAAGATCATTGACTTTTTAATAGCTCTTAATGAAATATTCCCTAAAATATTTGCATTTGAAGATGTATAAAATTTAGTTTACACATGAACTTGAAGGAAATAACCATTCATTATATAGAAGTTTTGCAAATTGAGCTGTGTAGAAACTTAAAATAGATCCATAGAATGACTATCGATAGCGATGAATCGCATTTCTGGCTTAATAGTTTCGTAAATAAGAAAAATTGTTGCATTTAGCGTGACGAAAACCGACATACTTGTCATGACACATATTTACACTCATATAAAGTAACGGTTTAATATGGTTTAGGCCACATGCAGGTGACAACTGCAAACTGCAACCGAAAAGGCATTCGAAATTCCACTAAGTAAAATCAGTTTAAAATTTGCGACTGCCTTAACCGCAGTCTCATATGTTATTGTGTTTTTTCTATACAGTTAATAGTGCAGTCTTTCCGGCTAACATGGTCTGAGGATGTGCATAGACCATAGGTTTTGGAATAATAGCAAAATAGTTACCGTCAATGAGTAACGCATACATACCGTTCGATTTGGACGGTATGTAGTATTGTACATAATGCCATACATCTTGCCAGTACAATCAATTGATTAAGGTCTCAGATCAGTGACCATGTAATTTCCATATAAGCCAGATCTAACATATATCAAGGTAATGCTAATTCATTGCGCTTTTTTTTAGGTTATGGTAAATAAATAGCCTAATCCGCAAATCACAAACACTAATATTCCTAGAGCCACTTTTTTAGTAAAATATACATTTATATGAACATATATTCAAAAATAAGTGTAAAAAATATTTCAAACTAATATGATTGAATTTAATAGACAATAATTAAATTGCTTAGAAATATTCCCCATTTAAAATCACTCTACTGCCATTTTGATGAAAAATATTTGTTTAATATTTGTGGCCAAATTTCATTCCAAAATTCATATGAAATATTTTTGAAAAATAATTCTGATAAATTGACTCAATAAAAATGTGTACGCATTCACAGTACAGTCGAAAGCAACAAAGAAGCCAGTTGGCCATTACCAGAAGGAATTCCCCATGGTCTAATTTAGGCAATGTACAAATGTTTTTCACTTTCCCGACGAAGCGTATTATTTTCTATTAATGTTTTCCGCCCGCTGGCATTGTTTATGAGCAAGTTTATTAATTTTGTGCTCCTGACCAAAACATTTTTGGCACGGATATTGGTATGTGCCAACAAGTAACGATACAGGAAATGAAAGTTTGTGCTCATACATAACATACTTCCACCCACCCACACGCACACACACTAACACTGGCCATATATGAACAACAAATTAACTAATCAATTATTATCAAGAGCACAACCGATATGCCTACCTATACACGCAATAGAGTATATTGATGTTATATGGGTTATATGGGTTATATTACTGGTTACTGGCCTACATGACTTGACTGCAGCCTCCAAGAGAATTTTCTTAATAACTCATTTTTCTATCGTTATTATGCCTTCTTCTTTCCAATTTTATTGTTCGTTATTTTATAATAGAATTTCTTATTTGTTCGCAGTTGTCTCACTTACCGCATGCTTCTGTTCATGGCATCCGTTTCTGTCGTGTTCATGCTGTTTCACATTAACGCCACCGCAAACGCGCTCATTGAGATTTGTGGCGTTGCAGCGTTTTTGGCGTTTACCACTGGCTTCATTGCCGTCGCAGTCGCTGTCATTGCTGTGCTTACCGCTAATGATGCTATGTCGTGCTAGGCGACAACATATCCTTGCGTACGTGCATTGCAACGCCTCGGCGAGCAAGGCGCCTAAGCTTGATAGACACATCAGCATCAGTGGAACTCCAAGTAAAGCATACAAGATTGTGGCTATTTTGCCAGCAGCCGTTTTCGGTGTAAGACTGCCGTGACCTGACATAACCGTGTCCGCACAACCCACCAGTATGAAGCAGAAGACGATGAAAAATAAACAACCATGAAAATAAAATGGAAAAGTTATTAAATATTTGTTGAGTCTAAGATATATTAAGGAAAAATAAATAACTTGAGTAATTTGTGAAAATATTTCTCTAAAGGATGATATTTATATGTACATTAAACAAAAACAAAGCGCATTATGAGTCATCTTATAAAGTATTTAATATGGTCGCACACTGGATTATATAGGAATTTAAAAATGGTTGTCAAAAGATTGTGGTCTGGTTTAAATATAAATTATTATTAACTTTCGATATTAATTACATTTAATTGGTTATATTAATAACACTTAATTTACTACTAATAACTGAAACTTGTCAAATGCTGCCTAAGTGAATGTTGCTAAAGAGACACTGTACTACGCTGCAATGTTAACGTATTCCGAGATACGAACTCTGTAGCAGTTACTATGATGCAGAAAAAATTTGATTTTATATGGCTCATATGGGTTATACAGCAGATCATTGTACAGCAGATGATTGTAATAACGACACCAAATTGAGTGTCATGAAAATCACTATCTAATCTTAGAGCAGTCAATAGGCGTACGGGGCGGTATGCAGATCTTAGGTCAAACATCGAATAATCAGTGAAGCTTGTGAGGAATACATAAATTAGTCAAATAAACGAGAGGAACTCAGAAGAAACCCCCTAGTTTAGAAAGAGTAAAATTACCCAGTTGCTCTCAACATAAGGAAAGCAAAAAGGAGTTATAATACAAGAACCACTTTCTGTTGATCCTTTATGTGTTTTGTTAGAAAATTTATGAGATACATGTTTGCTGAGCAAGTTGATGACAATCTGGTTGCTCAGTGATACCTGTGTATCTAACTTAGTCAGGATGTTTACACAGCTATAGCTCAAGTAACCTAAAACAGATTGCGTTCTCTTTCAGCTTCGAATAAGTCAACGATTTGCTACCGTAAACGTAGGTTTCCTCACATAGGTGGTGTGGGTTGTTGTTACCTTTACGCCTACGTCTTTGTTTCTATAGAGATAAGTACTAATTTTAGCATAAAAAACATCAAAAATTATTTTTTATTGAATTGTTACAAATGTGTTTTTTTTTTGAGTTAATAACATGTTCTAAAGTAAAAAATTTTTTTGTGAGATTTTCTATTTTCATCTTACCAAATTTTTACCTAATTTTGAAAATTTTCTCCCTAATCTAAATTATAAATTACAGATAAAAATTTTTTTGACTTTATTAAAACAAATAAATTCGTTTTCCTGCTGACATATTTGCGCCGTCATATCTTCAGGCCATTAGCAAAATTATGCGTTTTGGCCTTAAGCTACTAAGCAAATTATAGGGAATGACTTTGCATCTTCAGCACCAAATATGCATAAGTAAATATTTACTCTAGGATGATTTACAACAACAAACAACAAACAACAACAACAACGGGAAAAAGAAAAAAATATGATGGCATAAAAAACGGAAAAGCAACAAATGTTAAATATTTATCTACAGTTTGCGTGCCGAACGTTTATTAGCCAAAAAGTATGCAGCAAAAGAAACTGTAAATAAATTTGTCTATTAAGTCAAGGATACGTCAGGATGATGCCGGAAACAGCGAAGGAAGAAAAAATTAAAGATTTGTTAGCTTTAAAGTTGATGTGTTTCTTAAGTGAAGGCATTTTTGACGCTTCAGATATACATAAATTTAATTAATAACTCATAAATAATATTTTAAAATTAATTTTAAAATTTTCATTATTGCTGTACTCTTATAAACAATCATAGACAGATTGAAAGAGTAAAGAGTGATAAGTACAAAATACTGGAATAAAAAATTAAAATTATTGTCTGCTTCATGGGCCGGTCATAAAAACTCAAAAATAAGGAAATTAAAAATTTTAATTGAATTATTTATTGAACTCTGAATTAAACTAAAAAATTAAGGCTCAATAAAATGTTAAACGTTTTTTAATTCGATTTCATTGATTTCAAAGTAAAATTGTCTCATGCTGCTTACACTTACCAATTGTGGTTATTACGGTCACTGAATAAAGCAGCGCTTCACTGAAGGACCAACGTGTTTGTTCCATTGCATCCAAACTGCCACCAAAATGCCCCAGCGCAGTAGTTCTGACACCTGCGCCGAAACCACTCGAACCGACAGCGTTGCCACTGTGTCGTGTGGCAGCAACAATTGTGCCCTCAAAGCGCCGCAGTTGCTCATGCACCAACATCGTCCAATTACGTTCGTAGAGAACGTTAAGTTTTTCTGTAAAACGAAAAAAAAACAGACAAACCAAGTTTTATATATTTTATTTACAAAATTTCATGTTCATTTAATTAACATAAATGCACATGATGCTAATGCATTTGCATATGCAAAGGATTTCGGTGAGTTCGTGCCGTGTAACTTTTTTCCTTTTTTGGGGTAATTAAAGTGTAATGAAGTTGGCTGAACTTAATGTCATTTAAAATTTTCTCTTTTATACATTTCTAAAGAAGCTCTTTTAACCTTTTTCGACTATATTTAAAATATGAATATTAATTTCAATGCAAATATATATTTTAAATAAAATTTTATTTTGCAGTCAGTCAATGCGAAAAAAATGGAACACTACCTTTCAACATTATATTCATTTGTTCAAATAATAAAAATAAGAGAAATTCTTTATTAATAAAGTTAGGAAAAGTCCAGTAGGCTATACTTAAATAATCTATTAATGCAATCACAAACAATCAGTACTAGGTTAAATTATATGGTAGTTATCACCCGACAAAACTAGAAGTTACTCTAATGGCATTTATAGGTTGTTTAGGAAAGAGATTCAAACAGGAATAAAAGTTCTGGAAGTTTCTCAAACACTACTACATAAATGCTTGAGTGAACATTTCATATTAGATAAGGCACAATGACGTGGTAAAATAGGTTAAATATAACAATTTATCGAGAAAATTGAACTAAAAGAATAGTTTTGAATGAATAGTTCATGAATGGGCGTCGCAGATCTCTAATAGTTACACAATAATATAATAATAAATAAATTATCAATCTAATTATTAGATTAGTGCCTGCTTAATGAATCTATGACATTCTAATTCAAAATTTTGGTAAAAAATATAAAAATAATACATAAAAATTATATACTTAATGTTCTTATAAGACTTAAATTAAAATAAATTTACATAATAAGTACTTTGAGCGAAAAAATCATATCTGATTAGATATGATGTTAAAAACTTTAGCAAATTATATTCAACTCATTTATTGACAAAATTTAATGAAACTGACAATATGGGAAGGAGAGCAAACTTATTTTTAATTTCAAAAGTATTACGAATCCATCTATCTTAGCACCTTCATAACCAAAACAACGATATCAGCCTGAGTATCAAACGGAGAATAACATTACTCAGTAGGATTCAGCAAGCAATCGGAATAAAATCTCTCCATCGACGGAGAAATCTTATGTTCTATAGGTAATTTACCTTCAAAACGACACAAAATCATAGATGCTATCACAAAGAATAAAGGATAAAGCAGCAAAGGCACTGTTTGACAGAAAAGTTCTTCTTACAATCATTAGTCATATACGAGTCGGAGAGGGCTACCGCATGCCGAAGAACCAAAAGCTGGGAAAATTTTATTACGGTATTGACATTGTTCAACGAATTCAGATCTAGTGGTATCGACAGCTAAGTCCCGTTGTGAGGATTGATATAACGATGCTTCAGTGAAAAAAGTGTTCATAGCGGCAGTTAAACGAAGAAGTCTGAGGGAATAACCGTATCTTTGGTGTAACGATTAAGTTGTAACGATCACTTGATGAGCTAAAATGGATAGAAGAGAAGAGAAGTGATACGCCAGGCTGAAACCGGGAAATGGGTTTTTATGGCCATTTAATTATTGAATAAATAATAAATAAATTATTGAATAAATTAAAGAACCAATTGTGATATATTTTCTTTTACTATTGAAATTTTAAATTTAATGTGAAGTGCAGTGTCCTCATTCTCCATAAAGTGTATTTTCCTTATACACAATGAACTGTCAGTACCAACACTGGATTGGTGAATATGTTACTGTTTTTTGAATGTAGCGGACAGATACGTTTCTAGTAGGAAAAGACCTTCACAATTTGAGTATTAATTTGAAAAATTTAGACATTTTAAAATTAATTATATTTTTTCATTGTTAGTTAACGAAGTTCATTTTAAAAATGTTTCGCTCTAAAATTGTTTCAATTAAGTTAAATTTACGTTGTAGAAAATTGCATTTAATTTGAATCAGCCTCGCCCTAAAGCCAATGAATTTCATGCTAACATGAACTTCCGCTTTAAATAATTTTTAAAAATAACAAAGCTGAAGGAGCAGGAACACTTCGCGAAAGTATAAAAACTAAAAACTACTTTGCGAAAGAATTTACAATTTCATTTAAACAGTTTAATACAAGAATTTCGCATATTTCGAATAGTTTTTGCTAGGAAGCAAGTTAAATTCAACGTGCGGAGCAGGAAGTACACAGCCGCACTTCTATGGTACTTCTTCTGTTATTTTTTCAAGAACCCAAGATGCCATTACTTCATACGCATTTTTATTTGAATGAATTTGAAATTGCCATTTTAAGTATTTGCAGTGTCTTTTTTAAGGAATTTTAAAATTCCTGCTGAAGTGTAAAGAATAAAAAATGCATAAATGCTATGCTTGACACAGTCCTGCACAGTCTGTAGAGCATTTAACAAAATTGCATAATTACCTGAGCACATAACAAGTGCACTTTAGACGATGGCAATTGCCTTTTTCCAGCCCAGTCCGCCTTTTGTCCGCCTTGCGCAGAAGGATCGGATTGTCTGAATGATTTCTGAACTGTGGCAGTAAAATGTGTTTCAAAAATGGATACATAAAAAATTATACAGTAAACTGACTACGAGTAATATTTCCTCATGTGGCCCATGCACTTTCGTGAACTGTGAACACACACGCCGAGACACTGTCGAGTTAATTTGGTCATTCAAAAAGAAAGAAGGAGCAAGAAGGTAGAATGTTAAAAATAAATGTTAAAATATTAATTTTTTCTGCAGCAGTTTCTTTCATATTACAGTAACTAATATCTTGTATTTTAAGTTAAAAAATTTGTGTATTATTTTAATACTTCCTGTTTCATAAGAGTCACTCGTCACTTACTGACTTATTTATTTCGCATAACAACTCGTTACCGGGTTTTGTCCTAACGCAGCACCCCAGGTACCCCAACTATATCCATTCTCACATCATTAAGCCAGCAAGCCACTGTATGTTAATTTGCTGAATTATTTCAATGTAGTGGTAAAACTCGTACATCTTGTACTTCATTCGAATGCGGTAAAAGTCGTCAACAAGTAAAGGATCAAAGATCTTATGAATAACTTTTCTTTCAAGAACTCCCAGCACTGCTTCATTATTCTATGAGAGACCTATAGAACGTAAGTTTTATTTGTCGAGAAAGAGCTTAATATCCCAATTGTCTACTCAGCTCATTGTAGTAGCTACTGGCAATGATGATACTTCGTCAATAGGTAATGATAGTACAAGCTG